TTAGGTCGATAACTCCCCGGTTGTTTAAACCAGAGGGTATTGGATTTCAAAATACCGCTACGGACTCAATAACTCGAGTAAAAAAGGCTACGAAGTAAGGCCCAAAATTTAATAAGTGCAATAGCAATTTTATTTTATTTATTTATTTATTTTTAGCATAACAAAAATGGGGCTTAGATCCCTAGCATATGGTCATTACCTAGATTATACTTGGCAAAAGACACTCCACACAAATTTTATCAACATGCACAGAATCAACACACTTCTAGATAATATCCTTCACCGACTTGACCACCCCCAAACTTATCTCACAATGTAATAAAGTGAGAGAAGAGAATATAGGTTGATAAAAATTTTCAATCAACTCACAACCTGGTTCTTACCAATTCAAAGTCTCTCCATCAAATAAAAATTTTCCACATCTAGATAACAATTAATTATGACTATTGTGCTCAAAGTAATTCAAAATCTTACAATGGATAAGCAGTTTTTTTGAAAAAAAAAAATAGGCACAAATAGCATAATTGGTCATGCATAGCTCATGGATCAATACCAATTTCAAACATCCAAACCACGTTAAGCCAGCAAGGCTATCTAACATATCAACACAATATCACCAATTCAAATACAATCACCCTCAAACTTAAACTACACATTGTCTTCAATGTATAAAGAACAAGATAAAGAGGAGAGGGATAACGAAATTCCCCGGTTGTACATTTGTGAAGAGGCACCAATGCTGGACTCGGACTAGTGATGCTTCCAATGAATTTTGGCAAGTAACCTTCTTGCACACAATTTGCCCCCAAACTTGTAAGAAACCATGATACGTTGGACTTAAAAAATTTCCTACAAAAAAATGATAGCTAATTAGATAAAAGCATAAAAATACATAAAAGTAAATAAAAAGCTTAAAAATTAAAAAGTTGGGTTGCCTCCCAACAGACGCTTTTTTATAGTCTTTAGCACGACTTTGGCCTTTGAATCATGGGCATCTAAAGAAAGCTTTGGATGCCTTGCCCATTTTTCTACTTTTGGCTTTGTTCCACTCTTCATTTGATCTCCAAAACTAAACATTGCCCATTTCCATATAATAGGACTTACCTATTCCAGCCAACTCAAATTCAACTATGAAGATTTCTACCTCCTCATTAGCTTTAATCACAAAATCAATATATTGACAATCAACCAAGTCAAAAGAATGTAAGTCAATTTTCTTCTCATTGTTTGCCACATCTTCATATAGCTCCGTTGTGATTAATTTTTCATTATCTTCGAGCTCTTCAATAATTGACTCATCTTTGGATTGAATGATCAATCTGTCGTCTAACTCCACAGGCAATGGCAAGTCTTTCTTATTAACCTCAACGAGTGGATTATACCCACAATTTGGGAATCCATCCCAATTTTTGTAATCTCCCATTAACATGTCTTCTTCATCCAACTTGGCAAGTTCATTAGAATACTTTGCAAGTACCTTCTCAATCAAAAATGGTGGACCATCTCCCAAAAGTTTGATGTCCTCGTCCCAATCATTAGGTACATAATCTCTCGTGAACATGTAACTATCTTCTAAATTATCCATAGCTTGTTTTTGATATTTCAAATATTGTCTAAATCAAAGTAGATTCGACATTGAGGTATTGGTACACGAAAACAAGTATTGCCCTGTACAATGCATCGCTTGATAAATTTCACATCTCGGACCTCCAAGCATAAATCCACAGTCAAAATAGAGATTATCCATTGCAAAAGTTTCAATATTTCACCAAGTTAAAATTATGCAAATATCTAGAAAGTACAGAGAGAAAATACAAACACAAGATAGATTAAAATTGTAGGGGTTAGCCAAAATATACAAAAATAAAAGCAATTAAAAATAAATAAAAAGAAATTGTTAAAATTAAAATTATCTAAAGGGGTAATCAAATTAAAAATATTTTCCGGCAACGGTGCCAAAAACTTATTCGCTAGATTACTACACCGCAAGTGCACTGGTCGCGTTCAAGTAATAAAGTGGACCTATTGAGTCCAGGTTGTCGATCCCTCGAGGAATGTATACTTTCGATTACACAACTCTAATTAATTTAATTCTAACAATAAAAATAAACACACACAATTAAAAATATGATTTTAAATGAGGAAATTGACTAAAAACCTACAAAATAAGAAAAGGTAAAAATCTTGGAAATTTTGGAAGCAAGCGTGGTTGGGATTTATGGTTTCGCTTAACCGTCGCCTAATTAATTTCTCCACAAGCCAATTAACAAATTACTCATTCACGATGTTAGACCCGGTCTTCCAATTTTAGTCAATTACCTCTCTCGAGCGAAATTAACCCTAATCGATTGGTTTAACCTATTATATCTCTATATCGATTAAAACCAAACAACCGCATTAAATCTTCGTGAAAATAACTCATTCGATCGCCTAGGGCTAGATGTATATCTCTATCCCCTATACAAACTTAGGATTTCTACCATTTGGTCAAAAATGCACAATATTCTCTCGAACGATGTACAAATCACTTAACATAATCATTCATTAGCCACATAAATGAAAATGCAATAAATGCAATAGTAGATACACATGGACATAAGCAACTTAATATTAAAAAGCAAATATCAAAATTAATTAAAAGCTAGGTTAAACTAATGCCATAAATCTCAACACAAATATTTAGCCCATGTTAAATATATGATAAAAAGGAGAATGTTTTATTCAATAAAATACAAGTTTGACAAAATAATGGAGAAAATACGAGGTATAGATCTTTTTGAGCTTGCTCTTGATTTCTCCAAAACCTTGCCAAATCCTTAATTGAGTCTCCTTGTGCTCTACATTGTGCCTCTAAAATACCAAGGAAAGGAAAAGGAAAAAAAAGGAAGAGAAAAGAAAGAAGAAGAGAAAGAAAGAAAATGAAAGAGGGAGAAGACCTAGCCCTCCGAAATCGAGAATCCCTAGAAAATGACCAAAAATCGGTATTTAAATGGGCAAAATTGCGTCAAGTGAAATGGTGAAAGAAGTCCCGAAATTTACTCGAAATAGGCAAAATTAGCCCACCCAGAAAGCGGCGCGAGAGCACGGGTATTCGTCCCGCGCGCATAATGTAAAACCCTTTTGGTCTCGGTAAACTTAGTCCTCTATTTAATTGCACACAAGGCTCCTCAACTTTGATCATGTACAATCTAGTCCTCAAAATTTGATTTTCATATCACTTTTTCCCTCCAAAATTGCAACGTTAGGTCCCCAACTTTTGATACTTGTGCACTTTGGTTCCCAACTTCACATTTTTGTGCGCTTTTGGTCCTTTTCATTCCCTTTTGCCTTGTTCTCTTCCCTTTGGTGATTTTTGGCATATAAAAGCAAATATTACATAATTGTAAGTAGAATTTCATTCATTTAATCAATAAATAACATATTTAGATGTTAATTAAGTGCGTAAAAGCACACTTATCAATGTTCACCAAATAAGTCTTACCCCTAAAATTTCTCAAATGCCTTTAGCTAAAGGTGCAATAATGAAGAATAAGCAGTGTATCTGACAAAAATATTTTCACATCTAATAAGAAGAAAGAGAAACATCAATGCAAGAAAAAACTTTATGGAACAAACACATGTGGTTGGTCGGATATGCTGTTTGTGTACATAAAGGCAGCGAGATGCCAGTGGGTGGGAAAAAAAGTCGAGTTTTTACAGCCCGGTGCAGCTGTGACGGTGAGGTGTCGTTGGATGGGAAAGAGAGCCGAGTTCTTCGTCCCCGACGTTGATATGACGGCAAAGGCTACTATGGAAATGAAAACCCTTGATTTCTTTCTCTCCACTACAACGTCTCTCGGACAGGATGATAGTAGAAACCAAAATACAGGATAATCATTTGGAGGAAAACCCTCGATTTTTCTCTCTAGTATAATCTCTCTCAGGATAATTCTAGACACCAAAAGAAAATATGAGATATTACAACTGCCTCCCCACCCAATATACGAATAGCTCAGTCGATCAACAATAAATCGCTTAGAAATTCTTCTGGTGGTGGAGAAATCTGGCTTCTGAGTCGGCCAATGAATCTTGGCTTGTGAACAGTGCCAGAGAAATGCCTCTTTTAATTGTAGTTAGATTTATTAGAAATTATGGTGCCTATATAATCACCCTAGTAATAATACACTTCAAAGAAAGCTTAAATTATAACTCAATCTGTTAATAGACATTTTATCCATAAAATATATAGGATGCACAACTTACTATACATTTAGGGTCTGTTTGATTACGAATATGGAATTTGGGTAGAAAGAAAATGAATTCCAGAGGATTGAATTACCTAGAAATTGTTTTTCAGGAATTTGTAAATTATTGTGTTTGATTGGTATAATTTTCCACGTGTAAAATATTGAAGTAAAAGTCTTTTTTGGTGTTCGTTTAACTTTATTTTACATGAAAATTGTTAATTTAAGGGATATCCACTTCTACCATTGTTCCTAGAATTTGTTTCCATTGCCAATCAAAAAAAAAAGGAAAAAAATAAAAAAAATCTATATTTTGGTGTTCGTTTGGCTTTGTTTTACATGAAAATTGTCAATTTCAGGGATATCCTCTTTTACAATTGTTCCTAAAATTTGTTCCCATTGCCAACAATTTAAAAAAAAAAAGACAAAAAGCAAAAAAAAAAGTTGGAAAACCAAAAACCACCTATCCCCTAGAAAAATAAAAGGTGGAAAATCACGCTTTAAGGTATTGTATCTAGAAATTCATAGAAAATCAATTCCCTGAAAAATTTTGTCAATCAAACAGGCCAAAAGTGGAAGTTGGAATTCGAATTCCAAGTTCCATGAAAAATTTCGTGCAATCAAACGGGGCCTTATTGTTCAAACAATTTGTATGATGTACAACTTATAAGTAGTTGGGTACTTCCAAACAAAGCACATTAGATAATCCCGAACAACCTCATGGGCAATTTGGTAAACCAAATGAAATATGACGCGAGTACAACTGTTTATTTTGGTAGATCCGCAGGTTGGTTTCCTTGTTTTGATGTGCGGACTCTCCGAGGAAAATTAAAGCAAACCCATTGCGATACTGTGTTATAAGCCTACTGCCCACTCCATAATAACCCAAATATATCTCGACACTCATTGCTCGACAGAGTTTCAGAGAGCCCACTGAAAGAGAAAGATGGCGTGCTCGAGTATGGTGAAATTCAACGCCGCTGCCTCATCGTGGATCGGTGGACAGCATTCCTTTAACCAGCGATCTGGTTCGGCCTGTCGTTTGCCCTCCCGCCGTGTCTCCGTCATCCGCGCCGGATCTTACACCGATGAACTCGTCAAAACCGCTGTAAGCTTAATTCTGAATTCTAGAGTTTTAGTTCGTGTACGGAGAAATTGAATGAAATGGCCTAAATTTTTTAAAAGAGCCTTAGGCTTTAGAGCATTGACGATTCATTTGTGCGTATATAGTATTAGAACTACAATTGCATAGTACGTGTGCTCATACTATGCCTCAAATCGAAAGTTATAGTTACGAGTCTTTTGGTTTAATTTGTGGGTCTTGGGTATATTTTACACTTCTTGATTATAATTTTACTTATTGATTATAATTTTATAAATGGAGGAATTTATACAGCCCCAGTTTTGTTTTGCTAAAAACAGTTTTTTAGTAGATATTGATAAGAGTTGACGGCTCGGATAAAATTAATTTTTTAGATTTTTACAGCAAAACCAAACAGGGTCTAACTGTAGGGTTCTAAATTTCTAATGCTAAGCAATTGTTTGTGTTTTATTGATCAAAATGACGAACCAAGACTTATTTGTGATGACATGCATGTATGTAGTATATTGCAGGCAAGAGTTTGCGAGAGTGGATGGATGCTATATATCTGAATGTTTTCTTTTGTCTTTCGTTCTTTTTTATTTTCTTGTGTACTATTGGATACTTATGGTTTTTTGGATTAAATTATTTAGTACTATTTGCTTTGAGTCAGCTTTTCTCTTTGTGGCTTCAAGTAAAAAGATCTAGTTCAGCAACCGAGAAAGTTTAAATTAAGACTATCACCACTATTTTTAAACCATTTTTGAAGGGTATACCATATATGAGCAATTGAAGATCTTCTAGACAAGTGTTGGTACAAGTAAAAGTGTTTATTTTGTATTGATAACAAGATTAGATGTGTAATTATGTGGTGAAGTTGAAGTGAGATCCTGGTTCGTGCTGTTGTACTGTGACATCTTGTTCGTTAGTATTGGCACGCACACACTAGTCAGCTCGGCTATGGCCCAAGGCCACTGAGGCAATGGCAATGGCAATGGCCTTGGGTCTCGAGATTTGACGGGCTAAAGAGAAGAGCCCAAAACTCCAACAAAAATTTTCCTTTATTTTTTTGAGTTTTGTCCTCCATCCCTTTAAAATGCCATGACGAAACCATTAGACTAAACTAAATAAGATGCCCAAAACACTTGAGCACTTACATCCTTGATGGGCTTAAGCCAGTCAACCCAACTGAAAAATATATAGTACAAAATAAAAGGCCCAAGGAATTTTTATTTCAATTTTTAACTTTTTGCATTGTGATTAATAAATAATTTATATTGCTTATGCAAAAATCATATTAACCTATTTTTTTCTTGAAATTTGAGTTACCCCTTTAAAATGCCATGACGAAACCATTAGACTAAACTAAATAAGATGCCCAAAACACTTGAGCACTTACATCCTTGATGGGCTTAAGCCAGTCAACCCAACTGAAAAATATATAGTACAAAATAAAAGGCCCAAGGAATTTTTATTTCAATTTTTAACTTTTTGCATTGTGATTAATAAATAATTTATATTGCTTATGCAAAAATCATATTAACCTATTTTTTTCTTGAAATTTGAGTTAAAAAGAAGATTTCCTTTTTTTTAAAATCAATTTTTATAAGAAAAAAATTCCACAAGTAAATATTTGTTATTATTTTATTTTAATTTCCTTGAAAATCGAAAAGCTAAAGACCTCCATATCTAATGAATCCTTTGTTGTTCATGAGGATGAGTTTGGTGGGTTGAAAGGGACAAAAGTTGGAGGAGAAAGTGCATACAATTTTTTCATTATATTTGATAGATAAGTCCCTCTTACAAACATTTCACATGCATTGGTTGAGAAATAAAATGGGCCTAAAATTTAAAATATTATCTATTCCTATGTTTTGCTATCTACCAAAATTTGAAGAAAAAAATAAATAAACAATAATAATAAAATAAATAAATTAAGGAGATCTCCCATATAGTGTTTCAATAAAGGATGCGTTTGAACCCCAATTATTATTATTATTATTATTATTATTATTATTATTATTATTATTATGTGTTTAAAATGAGTTTTGTAAAAGGTTGTGTTGAGCACTATTTTTTTATTTTTTTTTGGTTTAAAATGAGTTTTTTAATATTGAAATTCTGAAAATGTGTGGTTAAAAAATAGGAAAAAATTGTGTTTTAAGTGCAAAATATTTTATTGGATGAATATGGGATAGAAAATGAGGTTAGGGGGAAAAAAATGAGTTTTTAGACAATGAGAATTAAATGGGGGCAAAGTTTCTTTAAAATTTATAAATTAATTTTTATGAAAGTTAAATATAAGTTATTATTTTTAAAGGGCTCATTTCATTTTTAAAAGCTATAAAGAAACTAAATTTGAATTGACCATGTTTGATGTTAAAGAGATTGTTGGTCAGGTATTGGGTTTGCTCCCCAATGGTCACTAGTTCGAGTCTCCTCAGGGCTACTGAGGTGAGTACCCGACTGTAAGCTTCAGGCTCCATGGGATTAGTTGAGGTACGCATAAGCTAACCCGAACATCCAAGGTCATAAAAAAAAAAAGGAAAAATGTTAAAGAGATTTCTATGCTTCTAAAAAAATAAGGGTCTCATAATAATTTGTCGTCTAGCGCCTCAAAATTCTTAGTGTCGGCCTTGCACACGAGGAAATCTATGTTGGTTTATTTATTTGCATGGAAGGATATTCCATTATTTTTCATTTGCTTCTCTATTTTCTTAATAGTTTGATTTGAAATGTAAATGGTATTAGACTAATTATAGACGTAGTTTATGGATTGTTGATTTCCTTGTATTCCTTATCCAACCGAGCAGTTTAAATTTTGATAAATAAATTATGTGCTGCTTGGTCATGCTTTTAAGTGCTTATAAGTTGTGGATTCTAAGAAATGTGCGAATAATAAGTGGATAGTAAGTGTTTTAAACGTTGAATTCCTATTTAGAGTGACACAACAGATTCTGCTCTTTTATGAATTTTGATTGCAATCAGAATGCATTTTGTCTATTTTATTGTTGCTCTTCACATACGAGTTTGAAGCCCTTATATGCTTGCTAACGTAGTTTCTGTTTTGTTCTTCTCGGGAGTAGAAATCAATTGCATCTCCGGGACGGGGTATCCTTGCCATTGATGAATCAAATGCAACCTGTGGAAAGAGGTTGGCATCCATTGGACTTGACAACACAGAAACAAACAGACAGGCTTATAGACAACTTCTACTGACAACTCCTGGCCTAGGTGAATATATTTCTGGCGCTATTCTCTTTGAGGAGACGCTTTACCAGTCGACTACAAATGGAAAGAAGTTCGTAGACTGTTTACGTGATGAAAATATTGTACCTGGCATCAAAGTTGACAAGGTAAGCTTTTCTAATCTCTTAGCCCCTGTTTGAGACCCCTTTTTTTTCCCCATTTTTTCCCATTATTTTTTCTATAGTGCCCATTTTCAATCTCACATTTTTCATTAAAATAATATTACACGAAAATCCAAAAAAATTCCTTCTTTTTTAACCATACAATTCGCATCAATTTACTATTCCATAATACATTAAAAGAAATTAATGAGGCTCAAACAGGGCCTAAATCTTTTGTAAATTCGCGGCATTATCAAATTTTATGCTTGCTTATAATATTTCACTTGTATGAAGATCGCCAAATCTTTCTTTTTGTTGACAGGGTTTGGTTCCACTACCAGGATCCAACAATGAATCGTGGTGCCAAGGATTAGACGGATTGGCTTCTAGATCTGCTGAATACTACAAGCAGGGGGCTCGTTTTGCAAAATGGTATGCTGTCCATTTGTCTTGTTTATTTGAGACTGCCCATGTCATTTAATAGTTTTCTTTTATGGGAGAATAACTGTGTATTTGTCCTTATTGCCTTTGCATGTAAAAATAGGAGAACTGTTGTTAGCATACCTTGTGGTCCTTCTGCTCTGGCCGTTAAGGAAGCTGCCTGGGGTCTTGCTCGATATGCTGCTATTTCTCAGGTATCCATCCAAATTTCGATGCCTTCCTTTCCCCTCAATGCACTTTAGATAGTTGATCTGTCTCAGTGGGTTTACAACAGGAGGACAAGACTTGAAGCATGTCTGGCTAAGCTTACATATAAGTTACTTTGAAGTTAATTCTTTTTTTCTCGAACACACTATTTACCTTAACTGCAATAATATTCTCGTTTCCAGTTGTGCACAATATATTTTTATTTGAAAACATATTTAATTACTTTAAGCGAACTTTTTAAGCTTAGCCAAGCATGCCCTTTGTGAGAACCTTCATTCTTGGCAACCTAAATCATTTTTCTTATTTCCTATGTGAGTGTGAAATTATTAGAGGATAAACATGTGCCTTTTTCGCGCAGGACAACGGTCTTGTGCCTATTGTAGAACCTGAGATTCTTCTTGATGGAGACCACCCAATCGAGAGGACACTAGAAGTGGCAGAGCAAGTGTGGTCAGAGGTCTTCTACTACTTAGCAGAAAACAACGTCGTTTTTGAAGGGATACTTCTTAAACCTAGCATGGTAACTCCAGGAGCCGAACACAAAGAGAAGGCTTCGCCAGAGACCATTGCCAAATATACGCTCACCATGCTAAAAAGGAGAGTACCTCCTGCAGTTCCAGGAATTATGGTACCAAACAGAGGAACACAACAATCGTTTTTCTTTTTTATCTGCACTGGCTATCAATTTCAATGGCTATTCAATTGAATTTTCTTCCCGGTTTAGTTCTTGTCAGGTGGACAATCTGAAGTTGAGGCAACGTTGAATCTCAACGCGATGAACCAGAGTCCCAACCCATGGCATGTCTCTTTCTCCTACGCACGAGCACTCCAGAACAGTGTGCTGAAAACATGGCTAGGACGCCCTGAGAATGTTGAAGCTGCGCAAAAAGCACTTTTGGTACGTGCTAAGGCTAACTCCTTGGCACAGCTCGGAAAGTACTCGGCTGAAGACGAAGGGGAAGATGCCAAGAAAGGAATGTTCGTCAAGGGCTACACATACTGAGTGTGTGGCCCATGTAGTCATGTAATCTTGAGTTATGCTTAGTAACTTCCTTTCCAATCTTAAATATATAGTGCTTGAATAATAATGAGACATGAGAAGGATTTTATCCAAATTTCGGCCCGTGTCTGGTCACTTTTAGCATTGTGTAAGAAGACAGGTGTATCATTTTAATTAAAAATGATTTCGGAAGACCTGAACCTGCGGAAATATATTGTTTTGTTTAATCGTAATGTGATCCTGCGACAATGTCTTCCTTCATGTTTCTGATACTACAAATAACGAGAAAAAGAAAAAAAAAATTAGCTTAAAAAATGAAGACGTCGGAAATCACCTGACAATAAGATGTGAACGATCGATTCTCATCCCCTTCACTCAGGTAGCCAAAAATATTTGTTTTTAAAAAAATTAAAAAAAATAGTCACCTTAATTAGATAAATAAATAATCAAAATGTAAAAAATATATGTATATATTTATATAATATTTCAAGTTTTTTTTGATAAAAGAAATAAGAAATATCTGATGTTCAGTATTATTAATATGTCATACTTTTAAAAGATAACTAACTAATCAATATATTTACAGTTTCATTACAAATTAGTCTTTTCTTTAAAAAAAAAAAAAAAGTAATAAAAATTTTTAATTACAAATAATCCTTTTTCATAGAAGATGAAGAGAAACAGTAAAAAAAGAGAGAAAAGGAAAAGAAAACAAATGTAACAGGTAGAAGAAAAAATGATAAACTTCTAATCAAGAACCCAGGATTTTAAAGGTTCATAGAAGGGGAGAATAAAGAAAATATTAAAAGGACAATGTGTATATATTAAAACAAATCTCCTGTCAAAGTCTCCCAAAATCTTGGAATGAATAAGATTAATATTTTGAAATTTCATTTTTGTACTTTTTACTTAAAAGTTAGTACCATAAATAATTTTATAAAAATCTTTAAAAGTTATTGGCATTTAAAATAGTGGAAATTACATGAACTAATGGTCCGTTTGATTGCAAATATAGAATTGAATTGTCTAGAAAATGAATTTCAGGAAATTGAATTGCCTAGAAATTATTTTTCTGGGAATTGTAAATTATTTTGTTTGATTGATATAATTTTTCACGTGAAAAATGTTGGAATAAAAGTATTTTTGGTGTTCGTTTGACTTTGTTTTATATGAAAATTGTCAATTAAAGTAATAAAATTTATTGGTATTGGAGATAAAATTTATTTTTATTGCCAAAACAAAACAAAAAATTTAAGAAACTCATCTATTTTTTGGTATTCATTTGACTTTGTTTTAAACGAAAATTGTTAATTAAAATGAATTTTTTTTTAATAATTCTTAGAATTTGTTTCCATTACCCAAAAATAATAATAATAATAATAATAATAATCGAAAAATTTGGGATTCATTAAAAAAAAAAAGGTTAGGTAATCTTTTCCTATGAATTTTTCGAAGGTAAAAATGTAGGTCACTATCCACAAAAATTTCATAGGTTTTACAGTGTGATCCCCAGAAAATCTGTAGTTAAAAGTGTGCGTTGTTTACCTATGAGACTTCCGTGAGTAAATCCATAAAAAAAAAACAAAAAAAAAAAAAAAAAAAAAAAAAAAACAAAAGGAAAACATGGAATTCAAACCTAATCAAACGGTGCCTAAATGTTTTTCAAGATTCCATTTTATAATTAAGAGTTACAAGTTTTTTCTTTCAAAAATCGGATATCCCGTGTTTGTTTTTCATTATTTGCTCATTAAAATGAAAAATATGACCGTTATCCATCATATCAAGCCATAATATTTGACTTTTTATCGTTTGTGTAGGATCCGTAATGACTATATTTTTCATTCTCATTCTTACATTAATGTGGTTCAAACGATGCCATAATTAAAATTTCAAATATTAATGATAATCTTACAAAAATTAAACTAATCGACCCTACCCAGTCGCCCACCCCATAACCCCAATTCAATATCTTCCCAAACCCTAATAACCATTTCCACTATCATTTTCCTCTCTCCATCTTCTTTCTTCTCAATCTATCTACCACCACCACTCACAACGCCACTGTCCCCTTCCAATTTGGCAATGCAAGACAGCATAGTGTAACCTCGCACAATCGCCCATCTCTATCGATGACATCACTCTCCTCATTCGAAGTGGCTCCGTAGCCATGCCAAGATTTCCCATCATTCTTCGACGATGTGAGGGCCATCGCCCATAACCAGTGCAGAAGGGGCTATTCCGTCGAGCACAGCTTGCAACATTATTGTGCTGCCATGGTCTATGATTTGTATTGATCAGCAAACGAGCATTTATCGTGGTCCACGTAGGGATGGCAATGGGCCGAGCAGACCTTTAACCCACGAACTCGGCTTGAGCTCGTGAAAAATGAGCCGAGCTCTCGTTGCTGGGGGCTGAGTCGAGCCCATGAGCTGCTCGCGAGCTCGTGATTTTTTTTATTTTTATTTTTTGAAAATTTGGCTACTTTTTGTCACTTTTTGGATGAGCTCGCGATCAACTTTGGCTCGTGGGACATGTGCCCATGAGCCGCTCGTGGTCTCGACGAGCCGAGCAAGCTTGGCTCGTTGGATCGTGCCCCCTACTAGGCTCGAGCTTGTATTTTTACAAGTCCGAGTTGCCCACGAGCCTAGTGATCAAGCTTACGAGTTACTCGGCCCATTTGCCATCCCTAGGTTCGCGATTTGTTGTTTGTAGTTACCATGGTTTGAGAATATTTTTGGATTCGAAGGATAGCAATCATACCATGATTTTTGTTGGTTGTTGGGGGTGGTAGTGGTTTGGTGATATTGGGGTGGTTTTATTAGCTGTGATGTTAGTGGATCTAGTGCTACTTGTTGTAGATCCAAAGTTGGTAGTGGTGAATAATGCGATTGTGGTGGTCATCGTAGCAGTGGTGTAGTAGTTAAGTGCGGTGTTGTTGACTAGTGGTTATGTATGGTAGTGTTGGTGGCAACCAGTGGTTATGTGCGATGCTGTGTGCGGTAGTATTGGTGGTGTGATGGTGGCTCTCGTGGGTGTGCAGGGTATGATGGTGTTGGAGTGGTAGTGGTGGTAGCTTCCATATTTTTTACAGTGGCGGCGCGGTCGACGGTGGTGGTTGTGGTGGCGATGGGTCTTTTGGGGTGGTGTGGATCTGACGGGATGATGTGGTGGTATTTTTATGCGATGTGTTGCTATCGAGAAGTGGTGATATTGCTATCGAGAGATGGTGGTGGTGGTTCTGGTGACGACAGTGGTGGTGGTATTGCTGGAGGTAGTGGTTAGATGCTTACAAATTATTTGGATGAATGTGACTATTATATTGGTTAATCCGTGAATAATAAATAATATGTGATCAATAAAAAATATAAATTGTGATAAAAAAAATAATGTGTGACATAAAAAATTGTTAATTAGTGACTAATAATATGATAATTTGTGACTGTATAATAAGTTGTAATTTATAATATTTGTGATTTGTGGTAGATAAATAAATTGTGACTTATAAATTTTTTGATTCTTGACTAGAGATGTTAACGAGTCGAGCCGAGCTTTTGTTTGATCAAAAAATTTCGGCTCGAGCTTTTCCGAGCTGAGCCGGGTCGGCTCGTTTTTTCCCTTTTGGCTGCCTTGGCTCGTTATTTTTTTTTATTTTTTCTGGCTGCCTATTTAAAGGTAGCAATTTTGCCGGCTCGGGCTTTTCTCCAGCCAGGTTGCCCGAGCCGTCAAGTCTTTTTGACACCCTATTCATGACCGATGATCAAACTGCGACATATAAATTTTTTGAATTGTGACATATAAAAATTTTGATTTGTGACCGAAAAATAATAAGTGACGAATTAAATCGTTAATTTGTAATCGAAATGTATAGATCTATGACATTAATATATTTAATTAATAAAATATATAATTAATTAATTAAATCATAAATAAATTTAATAAATATTTGAGTTTGAAATATGAAACATTTGTTCTTAATTATGAATTTTCCCTTTTAAATACCACGAGAGTTTTAGCCCTTGTTTGAGCTCATTAAATTCAAATTTTGGAAAAAATATATTTTGAAATAGTGGGCCCAGAATGTGAAGAGCTCCAATTATAGATACCAATTAAAAGGAAAAAAATTGAATTTACATATAATATTATTTTATTGAAAAATGTATGATTGAAAATAAGAAAAAAAATACATTTTTAAAAAAATAGAGGGAGAATGTATGACTAAAAATAAGAAAGAAGAAAATACATTTTAAGAAAAATAGAATCCAAATAGGAGCCTATAGACTTTTAAAAAGTTTTAATTAAATATATATACCGAAAACATAGACTTTTTGAGAGTTAAAGTCTATATTAAATACTTTTAAATTTTTAAGGGATAATTGCAGCAGAAGCCCCAAATCTTTAAATTCAAACATTTGATTTGTTACAGTCATCATCCCTGACATTTTCAAAAGTTGCATGTGAGGTCTTTTTGGATGGTTTTCATTCACAATTTCATTAGTCGATCAGAAAAATAATTTTGACCACATTTTAATAATTTTTAAAGGGACAAAATGATAATTTTCCATTAAAATCAAAAATCAAAAAATAAAATTAGTTTTCTTCTTTTCTAACCCACCCCAAATCGACCTCCCACCACTCTGTCCCATTCTTGTCCTTTTTCATCCGTGGAAAAGAAAAACACAACTGAAACCCAATCGTTTCACAAAAAAATTGCAGTTGAATTGTGTTCAATTTCCTATCATTTTTTCTCTTGATTTATCTCATATTTCCGATCTTACATCTACAAATCGAGTTTTATCTTTGATTTTGAATCTCGAAATTACACCTCAGAGCCCCCAATCACTCCATAATCAAATTACTTAAAATGCAAGACCCATCTATATATACATATATAAACGGACGGCCATGGCCACAGCCACAGTTCCTAAAGCAAGAACAATTAAATTGTCCAAGGTGAGATTCTACAAAAACCAAATTCTGTTATTACAATAACTACAGCTCAGCCACGCCACTTCTGTAAGAGCTATAGATAGGGATGTAAACGAGTCGGGCCGAGCCGGCTCGTTAGCTTAAAGTTTTAGCTCGGCGTCGGCTCGGTTAAAATGGCTGAGCTTTTTTGCGGGCTCGAACCGGACTGAGCAAAAGCTTGGTCAAAAAAATAGGCTCGCTCGGGCTTTTTTCGGGCCGAGCCGGGTAGGCTCGTTTTCCCCCCCCCCCCTTTTTTTTTTTTTTCCCCCCCCCCCCCCTTTTATCTTCTTCTAAGTTGCTGCCTTAAAAGGTAGCCAGCTTGGCTACCTTTTAAGGCAGTCAAGGCAGTAGCTTGCTGTGCAGCAGTTTTGCCGTCGAGGCAACCTCAAATTTTTTTTTTTAAAAGCTCGCAAGCTTACGGGCTGGCTCGAGCTTTTCCCTAGCCAAGTCACGGGCAGCCCAAGCCGGTGAGCCCGATTGCTATCCCTAACTGTAGAAGGTACTGGACCAAAGGAGGTGTGCTTAGAAACATCCCTGTCGCGCGACGGCTCGCGGAAGCTTCCCAATTTTAAAAAATTTGTGAAATTGAAATATGTAAAGCTTGGATACCATTACCTTATAACCCATGGAATGTATCTATTTTTATTTTTATCCCTAGTTGTTGTGGTTATTGCAAATCCGACTGTGGGGTGGGGTTAGGAAGAAGAAGACCAATTTTATTTTTTTATTTTTGATTTTAATGTAAAGTTATCATTTTGTCTGTTTTAAAATTGTTAAAATATAGTCAAAATTATTTTTTTGGTCAACTGACGGAATTTTGGATGAAAATTGTCCAAAATGACCTTACATGCAACGTTTGAAATTGTTAAGGGTGACGATTGTAACAAATCAAAAGTTTGAAGAATGTCTTCTAAAATTTCAAAGACTTAGAGCTTCTGCTGCAATTATCCCATTTTTTAACAGTTAAAAGTTATGAAAAGTATCAATTGAATACACTTGTCACGTTACATTTGAGAAAGAGTATCACCATACATTTTGATACTGAAAGCATTAGATTTTTAGCAAGTTTTAAAAAGTCTACATTGAGTACCTTAGATTTTTAAACTCTCAAACGTTATAAAAAAAATCAATTGAATAAACTTCCCACTTCCCGCCTTACATTTGAAAAATGTATCACCATAAATCTTGGTGATAAAATACAAAAATATGCATTGAATGAATAAGCTAAATTTTAGTCATCAATAATATTCCCTTGGAACTTTCAGACTTATTTTTATTCAAAATCTTGAATCACTTTTAGAAATGAAAAAAGTATCATATTTTCTAACACGTCGTTAATCTTTGTTGGGTTAATATACTTTGGGCCATTTTTGTGCCACTTTAATTTCAAAAAGTGTATTATGAAATGATAATTGATGTTAAAATGTATGGTTAAAAATGAAGGAAATTTTTTTGATTTATGTGTAATATTATTTTTAATGAAAAATGTGTATTGAAAATGAGAAGTGAAAAAAAATAATGTGGTAAAATGATTGATAAACAAATGCTCTATATTTATTTGAGGAATACTATTTAACACTATTAGTATCAAGCACTAAGTGACATTTGCATAATATTAAATGATAAATTTATAAATATAATGTCACATACTTTATTTAGTGTTTCTTTGGTGGGAATTTTGATTACTATTTTTTGACTGTTAGAGATAAAATTGATCCTATTTATAAGAGAAAAATTAAAAAATAACAAATAAAATAGTGAAATAACGATCAAAAAATTAATTTTAATTGACTAAAAATCTATACCAAACAAGTTCTTAATTTAACCTATTAAAATATAATCACGTTGCTAAGTAACATTATTCCTCCAATCGCCCCCACTCCCCTCTTTTTTATTTTTTTTAGTCACATCTCTGCGTTTTACGTACGGGACCTGGATGACGTGGACGTTTACTGCATTTTTAGGCTCCCCATCTTGCCTCCGCCGCTACAGTGTCGAATTATCTTCCATTCACTTCAACTCAGCCGTTGGCTCCGGCGGCGAAAACCCGACCCGACAATTTTTTTTTTATCCTGCTCCGTCCAGTTCCATTTCCGGTTGGATGTATCCTTCTTCCCTCCAATTTATCTCTTACAATTTCTACCCAAAATCCCTGAACCCCCTTTCGTCCATTTCTCCACCACCTCACTTACAATTCAAAATGAAGGACCAGCCGACACCGTCGAATTCGCCGTCACTCGGCCAACTTTATCTGCCGCCCAATCACCGCCTTCGCTCTGTCATCACTACACCCTCCGCCACCTTCTACCCCATTAAGGATTCCGTGCCTACAACTTTAAGTACTAATTGTAATATTCACAACCGGAGCTCATTTCCTCATTTCGGCGTTAATGATAGGAATGATAATAATAAGAATTCTAACAATCCTTACCCTAACTTGCCGCCTCATCATTACAAGCAACAATTACAGGAGAAAAAATCGCTGCATTATAAGGTGTCAGAGGCAGTTTCCGATTATGAAATCGAATGTTTGGCACATCCAGTGAGTTTTATATGCAAAAGTGATCTTTATTATGAGTATATTTTTTTGGGTTTACTCATCGTATGAGCGGCTGTTAATCAAGTTTCTTGTAAATTTTTTATGACAGTTACACAATGCAGATATAATTGTGAATTTATGATTGAAACCTGCATGGATTTGATCACGGCAAGAGTTATTTGATTTCATTGTTTGTTGTCTGGAATATGATCAATGGCAATTTGGTGGTTTGAGGGTTTTCGTTCACACTTCGGTGTTCAGGGTCGTTTATAAGTATGAACTGAGCTGGGTAAATTGGTCATGTCAAAAACCAAGTTTCCTGACAGCCTCTCGAACCGGATGGAGCTCACCCCACAATCCAAATTAACCTAGCCACCACACCACCACCCAACCCAGCCAACACCCATACCTACCGGTGCCGGCGACCAACCGTCCGGTAGGCACCACATAACCGGCCTCACGCCACAAATCAGCCCCTCCAACCACTTCCTTCACACATAGGCGGCGGCCATTGTTGGAAGCCCTAACGCCGTCGCTGGGATCTCCTATGCTGTCCACGGCACGTTTGGAGACGGCGCAATCGGCGGCAGCCCTGGTGCAAAAAGGGCTGAAACTGGCAGGGAGTGGAACAAGTCGAGGAGCACACAGAAAATTCCACTAGATTCGGCCACGTTTCGTGGAAACGCGCCTCACCGGAGGCCTCAGCAGAGATCGGCGACCCCGGCCGGCATTCAGCCCACCACACACGCCACTCCGGCCACGCGTCTGCTGACGCGTGTGGGCCACGTGCCGCCGTCGAAAAACCTGCAGAGGCAGCTTGCTGCTCTGAGATCAATCGGCTTGTCTGTTCCTCCGTTTGATGAACAACTTGTACACAATCAGGGGAAAAAATTGGCGGATGTGCGTAGTATGGTATTCAATCATCGCTTCAGAGTGGAGGCGAAGGACTTCGCATTATCTATTAACGATTCCGGCACTGTTAAGTTGACAGAATGGGGTTCGAAGTTATCGGATTCAATTTTCATGGGAAGGTATGGTGCTATTTGGATGGTGAATATGGTAGACAGATTGAGGATGAGAAGTGAATTTGATGACTGTGTCTTTAAATTCAACGAGTCTTCAAGAGCTTTCTTGGCACAACTGTGTGTGAACCGTCGAGGTAGATATTTGATGATAGCACAATATGGGGAGAGGCGTCGGAAAGGAGTTGTCATGATACCAGAAGGTGCAAATGGAGAGGGATGGGCGTTGGTCTCGCAGGTGTTTCAAGCAGTTGTTGACTCATTTGTTACTAGGGATAAGGCCAAACGACAAATGGTGAATGAACGAAACAGACAAAAGATGACTTATTCAGAAATTACAGCAAACTCACAGACCTCGGAGCATGCCAACCAACGGATGCTACATCAAAAGGAAAGGACAATTAAAGTCGGTGATAACGAAGGTCACGACATTTGTTTGAGTAGGGCTGAAATAATGGCCCGTGCTCAAGAGTTGAAAGGAGCATTGGATGAACTACTTAGGCTAGTTGGAAGCGGGCCTGAAATGGACCCCATGAAATTGGTACGCTGTCACAAGTGTGGGGTTGAGTTGGATGAGGATCAAACCAGTGAAATACACGTACCGGGATTGACTCATGAGGAACTATCATCAATTACAGAACATGAAAAGCAGGGAAGAGATGAACATTGTGATTCTCAGGAGAAAATGGAAGCGGGGTACTATAAAAACGATGACGAGGTTGACTTTGTGGGGGTCAACCGGAATGAAGTAGACACGGGGATTGCAGTTGAACGAGAGGTGGAACCGCTATCTAAGGAAAGGGAGTTGAGTATGGTGAACTTGAAGACAATGACAATGGACGTTGTGAAAGAAAACAACGCTACACATTCGACATCAAGGATTACGAACATTTATAATAGGAGGACAAAAGAAAATGATATGGGGACCGAAAAAGCTTTGGTGTTGTGGGTAGATGGTGCTAAGAAAGGAGAAAGCGATAGTGACATTATACCGGTGGTGGAAGAGAAAGAACGGTCCTTTGATCACCTCGAGGGCTATCACGGTGAGGAAACTTCAGAAGTTGATGTGTTAGAAGTTGGTCACCCACCTTCGAATTGGGTTTTACAAAAAATTCAGGAATTCAGTAAGTTGGTTGGCGTGTCATGTGATGGTTATGAAAATAGATTGTTACAATTATTCGAGGAGCTAGAGGCTAATAGGGGACAAGATATCAGTACACATGAATGTAAATTAAGAAGAAAGGGTGATCGCGAACTTAAGAGACTCGAATGGTCAGTAAACTATGCTGGTAAGGGTGGCGAGTCCAAGAAAGGAACAATGGGGAGGGGTTACGGAGTGTTATAATGATGCCAAAACTCATTAGCTGAAACGTAAGGGGGCTCAATGTGGTTAGTAAAAGGCTTGGTGTTCGACATTTGCTAAGGAGATGGGGGGCAAATCTTGTTTGCCTACAAGAAACTAAGATGGAGTTTATCTCGAGGGCGGTGATTCGTAGTTTATGGGGGGGGATCATGTAGGATGTCAGTTTTTGGGGTCATCAGGGGTTTTAGGAGGCGTGTTGGTGATGTGGGACACTAGAGTGCTTGAGATGAAGGAGGTGAGTATAGGGGTGTTCTCTATATCGATTTCTTTTAAAAATTGCGAGGATGGATTTCAGTGGATGTTCACAGGAGTTTATGGGCCTAATTCTGACGACAGTAGAGTGGGCTTGTGGGATGAATTGGTTGGAATGAGGGCTTGGTGGAATCTCCCTACATGTATTGGGGGTGATTTCAATGTGATTCGATTTCCTTCGGAGAGGTCGAGTGGTGAGAGACTAGCTAGGGCAATAGAGGAGTTCTCAGATTTTATTAGGGAGAATTTGTTAGTGGATTTATCCATGATTGGGGGGAGATTTTACCTGGTCATCTAATCGGGACCGACCCGTCTTGTCTCGTATTGATAGGTTCTTGATTTGTAGGGAGTGGGAGTTCAAATATTTAGATGTCACTCAGAGAAGATTGGGGAGGGTGTACTCGGATCATTTTCCTATTATGTTATCGGGGAATAGGAGGGGTGGTGGAAGAAGACCTTTTAGGTTTGAGAAGATGTGGTTGAAAGTAGAAGGTTTTAGGGAGCGAGTACAGACGTGGTGAACTTCCTATGAAGTCAGTGGGTCTTCCTGTTTTGTATTGGATTAGAAGCTAAAGGCGTTGAAAGGGGACTTAAAGAAATGGAATGAGGAAGTTGTGAGCAATGTTAACTGTAGTAAAAATCAGTGTCTGTCAGAGATAGAGGAGTTGGATAGGCGGGCGGAGAGTCAATGGTTGGCTGGGGAGGAGAAGGAGAGACATTGAGTATTAAAGGAAGAGATGGAGAGGTTGGTGGAGATGGAGGAGATTACTTGGCGACAGAAATCTAGAGTTACTTGGTTGAAAGAGGGATAAATGCACTAAGTTCTTCCACAGGGTCGCCAATTCTAATAGGAGGAATAACTCCATCATAGTTTTGGAGGTGGACGGGGTTATTTATGAGGAACCACAGGAAATTGGAAGTACTTATGAGGAACCATAGGAAATTGGAAGTCAACTGGTGAATTTTTATCAGAACCTCTATCGGGAGCAATTTGAACGGAGGCCAGAATTGGAGGGATTGCACTTTTCTACTATCACGGAGGATAATGCACGATGGATGGAGAGACCATTTGGGGAGGATGAAATTAAGAAGGTAGTGTTCAACATGAACAATGATAAGGCTCCGGGACCGGACGGTTTCTCGTTCTCATTCTATAAGGCGTGCTGGGATGTGGTTCGACCAGATATTGTGAATACTTTATCTTATTTTTTTGAATGTGGCAGATTCCAGAGAAGTTCTAACGCTACATTTATTGTGCTCATCCCTAAGAAATTAGGAGCGACTGATATTAAGGACTTTCGCCCCATTAGCCTTGTCAGTGGGGTGTATAAGATTATTGCGAAAGTCCTGGCAAATAGATTAAAGAAGGTGCTGGGAAAAGTAGTGTCTAAGTTTCAGAATGCATTTGTAAAAGGGCGTCAGATTTTGGACTCTGTGCTTATAGCGAATGAATGCATAGATTCAAGAATGCGTCTAAGGGCATCAGGGTTGCTTTGTAAGCTAGATATTCAGAAGGCTTACGATCATGTAAATTGGGGATTCCTATTGTATATGCTTAGGCGCTGTGGCTTTGGGGATAAATGGTGTAAATGGATTCAATTCTGTATTTCTACTGTTTCATTCTCAGTTTTGATCAACGGAACACCTGAGGGTTATTTCCGGAGCAATAGAGGCTTGAGACAAGGGGATCCATTGTCCCCATTATTATTTGTCATTGTAATGGAGGCTTTCAGTAGGATGATTGAAAGAGTCGTGAGAGCAGGTTTGATAAGTGGTTTTATGGTTGACCAATTGCAGGTGTCCCATCTGTTATTTGCAGATGACACGTTGATCTTATGCGATGCAGATGTTGAACAATTCAGGAACTTGCGCCGTCTGCTCCTATGCTTTGAAGCGATGTTTGATTTGAAAATCAATTTGGGGAAGTCCGAGGCTATTCCAGTAGGGGAGGTCGATAATGTGGAGGAGCTGACTGATATATTGGGTTGTAAGGTTGCGCAGCTATCGATGTCATATCCAGGGCTCCCGTTAGGGGCACGATTTAAAAGTACCGATATCTGAAATTGTATTATGGAAAGGATGGAGAGAAGGTTAGCAAGGTGGAAGTGTATATACCTTTCTAAGGGAGGCAGACTTAATCTCATTAAATCCACTCTCTCCAATCTCCCTACTTACTTTTTGTCATTGTTCCCCATTTCGATTGCAGTGACAAAGAGATTAGAGAGACTTCAAAGAGATTTTCTGTGGGCAGGGTTGAGGGAGGAGAGGAGACTCCATTTGGTCAATTGGGGAGTTGTTTGGTTGCCGATGAGGATGGGGGGTCTTGGAGTGAGGAGCCTTGTGTTGTTCAATAAGGCCTTATTAGGCAAGTGGTAGTGGCGATTTGGAGTGAAGAGGGAAAACTTCTGGAGAAAAATAACTGGGGTGAAGTATGGTGTGACGGAGGGGGGATGGTGTACATTTGAGGATTGTGGTTCTTATGGGGTGAGTTTGTGGACGTATCTGACGGGGATTGAGTGCTTTTTTGGACAAACTGAAGTTTGTGGTCGGAAATGGTAATGAGATTAGATTTTGGGATGATTGTTGGTGCGGAGATCAACCGTTGGAGGAGAGATTTCCTTCCTTGCATTGCCTCAGTGCCCATTGCTATGGTGAGTGATTTCTTAGACATTCATAATGGGAGCTATAGCTGGAATATTACTTTTAGGAGGGATCTACAGGATTGGGAATTGGAAGATTATTCGCTGTTTATGACCTTTTTACATGAGGCACAAATTCGGATTGGAAAGAGGGATTGCATCAGGTGGAGGACAGCACAGGATGACATTTTTTCAATTCGCTCGTACTTTGGTTTCCTCATGGGATGTGTGAATAATTCATTCCCCTGGAAGTTGGTGTGGCAGTGTAAATTGCCTCCTCGGGTGGCATTCTTATTATGGACAGTTGTGAGGGGACAGGTCTTAACGATGGATAATCTTCGACGTAAAGGCTTCTACGTAACCGAGTGGTGTTATATGTGCAACAAGGATGGGGAGACGATCCATCATTTGTTCATTTATTGTGATGGTGTACGTTGAATTTGGAACAGTATACTTAGTTCTCAATCTATGGATTGGGTGATGCCTCGTCATATAAAGAACATGATACGGGTATGGCGGAGAAAATTTCGTGATAAGGATAGCAAACTAGCATGACACCTTATCCCGGGCTGCATTGTATGGTGCGTGTGGAGAGAAAGGAACAACCGTTGCTTCGAAGATCAAACAAAGATAAGAGAGCAGATAAGAGAAACATTTTACTTTACCTTGTATTCTTGGTTTAGTGCTGTGGCTAGAAATCCTGTAGATGGGTTGTCTAATTTCATGTTATTCTTTAATGGCTTAAAGTGATTGTACACCGCTCGTGTATTCTCTTTTAAGTAATAAAATTATTTGATTACCTATCAAATTTTTTTTTTTTTAGTCAAATGGCAGAAGCATATAATCTATTAAAAATAACGAAAATGATATTCCTGCAGCAAAATTTAGTACTGTGACATTTCAGCATGATTATAAAATATGTTAAGCATTTTATTTAGCTCCCTTTTTTTTTTTTGGGTAATCTTCAATTTCTTTGGGATATCATGACTCTCGTTTAGCTCCTTGTTTTGTCTGGTGTCCTTCTGAATTACACTGCTCAAATTTGGAAACTGATATTGCTGTTAAAAAAGAATCAAGGCATCCTTCTAGTGTATTGAAAATATGAGACATCTCTTTACTAATTTTAGTAAAAATACAGAAATTTATGCAAGAGAAAAGAGTATAATCTTTGAGGATAAGTGGGCATTATTGGGAAAAAGTGCCCAATGCTAGATTAGAATAGCTTAAATTCTTGCAGATGTATCTTTACATGAAATCATTCTTCTTTCATTTTGTGTCCTTATTAGGAAAATCACAAATACAAAAATTGGTAATTTGCACATGAGTGGATCGAGAGGGGAGACATTGGTATATGAATAAATATCCACAACATGATCAGTAATTTGGCATGATTATTTGCTTATATGAAACATGATATTTTGTTATATCTCCCATTTATTTTGTCTTTTGGTCTGGATTTGGCAGCTGTTTATTATTCTAGTCCAACTGTAATCTCCGATTTTCCTTTTAAAGTTGTTGTTTCTGATCTTAGGGTGCTTCCACCTGGGATGATGTTGATGGCTGGAAATGGAAGTTAACTACTCTTTTACATAATAAGGATAAGCAAGAATTAGTATCAAGAGATAAAAGGGATAGGCGCAATTATGGTCAAATAGCAGCTTTAGCAAGCAGAATGGGTTTATATAGGTATGTTTCACACGATTCTTTCAAAATATTCTTTTGAGGTATGTTTAATAAAGTACTTTTTGCAGCCACCTGTATACAAAAGTGGTAGTTGTCAGTAAGGTTCCATTGCCCAACTATCGATTTGATCTTGATGAAAAGCGTCCTCAAAGGGAGGTATTTTCTTATGCTGCTTCATGCATTTTTTGTTTATATAATTGAATTCAACCAAACCCTATTTTTTTATTTGTTAGATTTTTGTACCGTTCCATTTACTTTTTCCACAATGATTCTTCACCTTAGTTATTCGAACTACTCAACATTAGTGACTTTATTGGTTGAAGGGTGTCTTATAATTTATCCTAATAATGTTTTGAAGCTTCACATCTCTTTTTTCAATTTAGTAATCCCTGAAACTCCGATGCCCACACATGCTTTGATGTCTTTTTCTAACATGCTCCCAATCATGGGATTAAAATGCTTTAGAAATTTTTAGGTGATCTTACCTCCAGGCTTGCAAAGGCGTGTGGATAAACATCTTGGAGAACACATTTCCCAAAAGCCCAAGGGCATGAATGCATTTTCACGATCAAGTAGTGATTGCAATATCACTACCGATGATGGGCTTTTTGAGCAACCTGAGGCACTTCCACCTAGCAAGGTTGCCATGGAGAAATTTATTTGGCGAAGGAGTCAGCAAATACAAAGGGAGCAACTGATTTGGCAGGTTCAATCTCCTATGCAAATTCATAATACAGCTATTCTTCGTCAGCTTTGACTTTTTATCAATTTCGATAAGTGATGGTAGTTCTTTGGGATGCTCATCTTTTTAGTTTTCATTTTATGCCTTATAGTCAATAATGCCATGATTATTGGCAGCTAGTCTTGACATTATAAGCCCCTATTTGGTTTTGCTAAAAATCATATTTTTAGTTGATTTTAATAAAAGTTGATGAAATGTATGGTTGAAAAGTTGTGGGTCCCATGAGATGTGTAGTTAAAATTAATTGTTGATATTGACTTAGCTTTTAATCAATTTTTTAGCTAAACCAAACATGGGCTAAGACTGTTACGCTCTATTTTAGAATGTAAAAACCATTGTTTAATAAATCTTTTTCAGGCTTATGCCTAGAAACCAGCCTCTCGTGAGGCTATTATAAAGCACCTTAATACCTGCCCCAGAGTGCCATTGAGGCTTAATCAGGGCTGCTTAGGTGTGTGCTCACTTGTGTTTTCTTTTTTTGAGCATTTATTAGTTTTTGATCTATCTTCTTTATAGCCTACAGCATTTTATGGGTGCTTTAATTTTATTTTTATACCTTTACAAGGATGGAGAAGGAGAAGGCAACTGGATAGGACAATGCAACATTGCTAGTGTAGGTTGATAAGAAAGAATGATAAATAAATGATAGCGATGGAGGATGAATGGGGTATCAAATAAATGATCCTTTTAAGGATTGTATTACTTTTGATAATATAGGAGATTTCTAGATTGTCTTTACTTCTAGTGCAGATTACATTTCTGTTATACCATTATTAATTTGAAAACTTATTATTTGCTTCTTTATTAATCTATTTAATATTTATATATATATTTTTAAGTCAAACTATTAATTTTGTTAATTTGTTTTATAACAGATTTTCGAGATGATAAATAGTTTTAACATAAGCATGCTTGTATACTTCTATATTCTTTTCTATTATTTTAACGGTTTGTCATGAGGTTTTCTGAAGATTGGATGGAAGAATTCCAATTCTTTATTATATATTTCTTACAATGAAAAAACTGTAAATATATAATACAAGGAGGAGGAATAAAAAAAGAAAATAATCTCCTATCTAAGGAAAGAAGCAATTATTTCCTAACTAATTTACAATTTTACCAAATAAAGATAGAAACAATCTTTCTATAATAATTCTATAAAATTACGGGATTTTTACACTCTCCTTCAAGTTGGATCATAGATATTGACCATATCCAACTTGCAGATGAAATCATCAAAATTTTGTCTATGTAGCCCCTTGGTAAATATATCTACTGTTTGTTCTTTGGTGGGGATATAGGTGATGCAAATAGTTCCATCTTCAACTTTTTCCTTTATGAAGTGTCTGTCCACCTCTACATGTTTAGTTCGGTTATGTTGTACTGGATTGAGTGACATATTGATGGCTGCTTTGTTATTGCAATAGAGTTTAATTGGGAATTTCATTGTAACTTGTAGTTCTTTCAAGAATTTTTTTAACCACAGTCCTTCACATATCCCTTGAGCTACTGCTCTGAACTCTGCTTCAGCACTGCTCCTTGCTACTACATTCTGTTTCTTATTTCGCCAGGTTATTAAGTTTCCCCATATGAATGTACAATAACCAGTAGTAGATCTCCTGTCTTTTATTGCTCCAGCCCAATTAGCATTAGTGAATATTTCTATGCCCCTTTTTTCTTGTTTCTTGAGCCATAGTCCTTTTCCAGGTGAGCCTTTGAGATACCACCTGGAGAATGCATATGTTGACTTACCACACTCACGGCGAATGCAATGTCAGGTCTAGTATGTGATAAGTAGATTAATTTTCCAACTAGTCGCTGATATCTGTCCTTTTCTACTGGTTCACCCATGTCAGTTTTCGTACCAGTATCAATGGGAGTGTCACTTAGTTTACACCCAAACATGCCTGTTTCAGTTAACAGGTCCAAAATATATTTTCGTTGTGAAACACTAATACCCTTCTTTGACCTGGCTACCTCCATTCCAAGAAAATATCGCATTTGTCCAAGATTCTTTACTTCAAATTCCGTGGCTAGGCCCTTTTTTAGCCTCTCAATCTCGATTGTATTATCCCCAGTAAGCACTATGTCATCAACATATACAATCAAAATGGTCTTTGTCCCATCTTCAAATATTTTGAAGAACATACTGTGATCTGATTGCCCCTGTCGATATCCTTGCCTTTTTAATACATTTGAAAATTTATCAAACCACGCTCTTGGTGATTGTTTGAGTCCGTACAAAAACTTTTTTAGTTTGCATACTTTGTTCTTTTCTCCTTTCTTGTCGAAACCAGGCGGTAATGTCATGTAGACTTCTTCTTCCAATTCCCCATTCAAAATTGCATTTTTGATGTCAAGTTGTTGTAGTGGCCAATCTAAGTTTGCTGCTAGTGATAAGAGGACCCGAATTGTATTTAATTTGGCCACAGGTGCGAATGTTTCTGTGTAGTTTATACCATAGGCTTGAGTATATCCCTTTGCAACCAGACGAGCTTTGTACCGTTCTATAGTCCCATCTGCTTTATATTTCACATTAAATACCCATTTACAGCCAACTGGTTTCTTACTTTGTGGTAGCTCCACTACATCCCAAGTACCATTTTTTTCAGTGCTCTTATTTCTTCCATCACTGCTTCCTTCCATTTAGTAATTTCCAATGCTTCCTGAATATTTCTGGGAATCTCTGTATTATCAAGGTTAGAGACAAAAGTTCGAAATTGTGGAGATAAAGTTTTGTAGGCTATGAATTTTGAGATAGGATGAAGAGTGCATGACCGTTTGGTTTTCTTAGAGCAATAGGTAAATCACAATCAGATGACTTTGGAGAAATTTCATGAGGATCTAGATCTATCACCGGTTCATACTCTTTTGGTGCTTCGAGTGTGAGGTCGTCTTCCTTATACTTTGGTTTTGACTTTCTTGAATAAACTATCATATCTTTGTCAAGTCGTTCCTTCTGATCTCCCCCTGAGTTCAAGATGACATATTAGAACAGGTAGATGGTTCAAGATTTTGTATTGATTCATATTCAGATGGGTTAAGGGAGATTTCAAAAAAACGATCTTCGACTATGTTTTCCCCCTGAGGAGAGGTTTTTTGAAAGAAGGGTTTTGTCTCAAAGAAAGTGACATTAAGGCTAACAATCACCCTTTTTGTTGTTGGATGATAGCATTTATATCCCTTTTGTGTTGGTGAATATCCAATGAACACACATTTGAGGGCACGTGTTTCGAGCTTAGTTCGATGATGGGAATGGATGTGAACAAAGGTCGTGCAGCCAAACACTTTAAGGGGTAAGTTTGAGCTGATGCGAAAGTAAGGGAAAATTTTTTGGAATTTTTGAAGAGGGGTCTCAAATTTGAGAATGCGACTAGGCATTCTGTTTATAAGGTAGGTTGCTGTGAAAATGGCATCACCCCAGAAGGTGGTATGCATATTAGAAGTAAACAACAGTGCTCGAGCCACCTCAAGGATGTGTCTATTTTTTCGTTCAGCAACTCCATTTTGTTGTGGGGTATCAACGCATGAGCATTGGTGAATTATCCCATTATCTAAAAAGTAATTGTTCAGAGTATGATTGAAATATTCTGTGCCATTATCTGTGCGCAGAATTTTGTATTTTTGTCTGAAATTGAGTTTGGACCATTGAATGAAAATTTATGAATACAGATTGGACATCACTTTTTTCTTTCAGCATATAAACCCAACAGATTCGAGTATGGTCGTCAATGAATGTAACGAATCATTTAGTGTGGGTGCGATTGGGGGTTCGTGAAGCTCCCCAAAGGTCACTGTGAATTAATGCGAAGGGTTTGATGTTTTGCGAGTTCACAAGTTTCACAACTAAAATCAATAGACATTTTATTCGAAAATATTGAAGGTAATACATGTCTCATATATTGAAGGTTGGGATGACCTGGTCTAAAACACCATAACAGAATTTCACTATCCTTGGGAACAAATGCAGAATCATAACTAACAAATCGATGTTTACTCACATCAGTTTCGTCAAAGTAGTAAAGCCCCCCACACTTTTTAGTACTGCCAATCATCTTCCCCGATGATAGGTCCTGAAAAATACAATGAGAAGAAACAAAGTTAACAGAACAGTTTGAGGTTTTTGCCAATTTATTAATAGACAATCGCAGGATAAATTTGGGACGTGTAGGACATGATTTAGTGTTATTGAGTCAGAGAGTCGAATAGTCCCTTTTCCGGCAATTGAGGATAAAGAGCCATCTGCAATTTTAACTTTAAGGTTGTCTGCACATGGTGAGTATGAAAGGAACAGGTGGTGGGAGTCCATCATATGATCGGACGCACCAAAGTCGATAATCCAAGGCACTTTAGAGAGTACCGTGGTGTTTAGGGCTTTCGGAAAAATACCTTTGTGGGCTAGGGAGCTTGACGAATTAGGTGATTGAAAATTTGAGAACATTTTATAGAGTTGTTCGAGTTGCTCTAGGTTGAATGCACTGTTTGACATGGACTGTTGCGTGTCATTAATTGCAGCTTGATACCCGTGATTTCTAGTATTTTGTCTTGATTTTCAGTCACTTGGTTTCCCGTGCAAATCCCAACACGTATCTTCTTTATGTCCGAGTTTTCGACAGTGGTCACACCATGGACGACTTTTCTGATGTTTCCTGCTTGGTCCAATTTTTGCCAGTCCTCTAAACATTTGGGTCGATCCGTCAAACCTAACAGATTTGGGCCCATTAAAAAACGATTTTTTAACATTTGCAGCCAAACTATCAGGCCCACTATCCAGTGACCCAGTTGGCCCAGTAGACTGTAAAGATAGGGCCGATCCATCCAACCCAGTGAGTCCACCTTCCTTCTTCATCATAATTAGCCGGCGACTCTCTTCTCGCCTCACTTCATCGAACACGTCACAGGTGGTGGGAAGCGGTCGGCGACTAAGAATCTGACCTCTAACATCATCCAATTCCCTGTTCAGTCCGGCCAGAAATTCATACATGCTCATTCTCCAGCCGTTTCTTATACTTGATACAATCACTGGCGCAGTCACATTCATCTTCAACACTCTGGTTCAATTCTTGACATAAAACTGTCATCTCCATGTAATAGTCGGTGACATCTCTCTCCCCTTGATTCGATTGCCACAACTTGGTTTTAATCTCGAAGATTTGCGAGAAATTTTTGGCGTCAGAGTACATCTCCCTGACTGCTTCCCAAATGTCTTTTGCGGTGGGCATGAAGAGATAAATTTTTCCAATTTCGGGCCTCATCGAGTTCACGAGCCATGTCATTACCATGGAGTTTTCGGATTTCCACCTTTTCTGAAGATTCACGTCGGCGATGGGCTACTTCGTTTCTCCGGTAAGATAACCTAACTTTCCTTTCCCATCAATCACCAATTTAATGGACTGAGCCCACTCTCTATAGTTTCTCTCGTTGAGTTTCTCCACCGTTAATTGGAAGGACGAATTATCAATTCCAATTGGACCCATGGTGGGAGTAATTTCAGTTTCACCTATGGGAGACTCGGATGTTGCCGAGTCCCTGCTGTGTCCTGTTTTGTCCGCCATTGATGGCTGGTTTTACCGTGACTCCGGCTCTGATACCATGAAGATTGGATGGAAGAATTCCAATTCTTTATTATATATTTTTTACAATGAAAAAACTGTAAATATATAATATAAGGAGGAGGAATAAAAAAAGAAAATAATCTCCCATCTAAGGAAAGAAGAAATTATTTCCTAACTAATTTACAATTTTACCAAATAAAGATAGAAACAATCTTTCTATAATAATTCTATAAAATTACGGGATTTTTACATTTTCACCTCATCTCATGGAGATAGAATGCCTGAGTACCTGATTGAGCCATTTTACACATTGGTAAAAACTATCATTTATTGGTAATGTTGATGGGAAAATTATTAAAAGATCCATTTCTTCACACGTCTCCCTCATCTGCCTCGTAGTCTAGCATCTCTATACTCATGCTTGTAGATCTTTATCCTCCTTTCTATTCTTTGGTCCATGTTTCCCATGATTCTAATGCACACAAGTGATAAAATTGAATATCTTGTGCTAAAATACTAGTAATCTGAATACAAAACTAGTGATGAGTCAGTGATGTATGACTCCTAAATGGATAGGTCATAGGTCTGGTCTTTGTTTAGTCTCTTGAATAGTAGTAAATTTTTTGATAAAGATAAAGAAAGTTTGACTTTCTTCTTTGAAAAAGAGTTACATACAACATTTTTGCTTCTATTCAATTGTTATAATTGATGCTCTAGCTTTTAGGATTCTGGAAGTGAGAAATCAGATGGGAACAATAAGGATTTATGAAGAAAATGTAAATGCAAAGAGATGATAAACCAAAGATTTAGCCTGCAGATGGCTATTACATCTGCCCTGGGATGAAACTGAACTTCTAACTTTCAAATAGCTGATAAATAAAGATGAATTCTAGGTTTATTTACATCCTGTCTGATTGCTGCTTTACAACATTTCTTCTATATTCAGCTGCAAGAAATCTGTTGTGAAGCTTTGTTCTTGTAAAAGGTGATATACATCAGTCCTTAGAATCTTCCTGTGAATTCTATATAGTGATAAACTCTTGTTGGATTTTAAGCTTGCCTACATCTTGAGAAACACACTAATATTCTTGCGGTTGGGGTTGTTGAGCTGGTCTCCAATGCTATTGCATCCCTTTGAGGTTAGATTTTTTTTTTTAGGTGAAAAGAATTATCTATGACTTCAACTTCACTTTGATTCCATCATTGAAAGTATGCTTGTAATGTGAGCAGGGCAAGTTCAATACTCTTCTGATGTAGCTTAGTTGGTGTTAGTGGTATGCCAAAAATGATTAACTAAGCAGTTTTCTGTTCATGATTAGGGAAGGACCTCAGCTTATTGAGACTTTTACCTAATTAATTTTTGCATTCATTTCGCATGTTTCTATTCTCATGCAATCTGCTCTGTTCATGTTGCCAGCCCATTGATTTGCGAACATAAATTTTCTACTGTCATTTGCAAAGAATCATTTTAGTTATTATCTTCATTTCTTCTTTTGGTGCTTTTGTTGTTAGTCTTTATTAGTATTCTAAAAGGCGCAAAGCGCTGCAAGGTAGAAAATCAAGCCTTAAACCTTATGAGCCTAGGCGTATTAAGGCTTTTTTTATATTCAATATTATATTAATTATTCTACGACCATTAACTAATAAAATAATGCAAACTCAAAAAATTATTTAATAATTCCTACAACTAGACAATATCCAAGTTCCCAACAGCTAGCGATTTCCAAGTTTCCTACTAGACAATTCCTACTTAGTAGATTTATCGGAATTTCATCAATACTTTTCAAGTTTTACAACCCAAAAGTATGTCTCAAAATCATAAATGCTTCTCTAACTTTTTAGACTCATCATTCTCTTCAAGCAACTCCAGCACCTTTACACACTTGCTCTTTAAGGAATGGTTTCACACCCTTTCTCTTGATACTCACTATATGGATTTTGTGCCTATTAATTCCTTCATTCGTAACATTACTCGACAATATGCATTTCATGTTATTAGCATTACTAGGATCTTCAGGAATTCTAGTTTCCCATCTAAAGTCCCCGGAATCTTTTTTAAGTTGACTGATTGTTCCATTGATTCTTGGAAAATGGAAACAATATAAATAGTTATTTATAGTAGGGTCCAGTTATTTCATTATTGCTTGGGATGACAAACAGCAATCATGATTCATTAATGAATAATGACCCAATACTTATCAAACAATTAAACATAAATAATCTCTATAACACATTTTATCAAACACTTAGGCCAATATGGCTGGTGGAGTTGATGCTGTGAAATTTCAAGAAGACCAGCTTGGGGGAAATGGGTCCAGGAATTAGTCCAGCACTAATTTAGAGCCTTGGCTTGCATTATGTCTTACTGTCACAAAGAAATGGGTCCAAAAATAATGAAGAAAATATTGGCCAAAAAAAACAAAAAATACCACAAATCACCCAAACATTGTTGAGCTGGTCTCCAATGCTATTGCATCCCTTTTGGCACCTATGCCGTGGTCAAGACTGCCACGCCTTCCCCATACGTAGGGCTTTTTCTTCACGCCTGGGCCCCTCTTTCCTGCCTTTTAGAACTTTGGTCTTTATTGGTTTTTTTAAGTTTCATTTGGCAACCTGATTTCTAATCTTCCTAATTCTGCTACATTTATCGACTAGAATTATTTCTTGCATTGAAAAAATTCTGTGATTTCAATTATCTGCTCTTGTTTGAAATTGACTTAGAAGTACTTCAATTTTCTTTCTCATAGTCATTGATTTTGCACAGCAATCTCCTGAAGGCAGAAAGATGATGGAATTTCGTCGTAGTCTTCCTGCTTACAAGGAGAAAGATGCAATATTAAGTGCCATTTTGCAGAACCAGGTACGTCAACATTTGGAGCATCTATTGTTCTTTGCTGTTGCTTGGATTTGGCACTGTCTTAAATTAGTTTTCTTTTTCTGGAGCATTGCGTGACAAAACTCTGATAGTGATTAGAAAGTCTGCTCTATCTTTCTTTTTTTATGAATTCTATTACCTAGAAATAGTTTTGCGTTAGAAATCGAGGGTCAAATGGTTGAAGGAGGGGGATAAATGTACCCAATTTTTCCATAAGCTTGCTAATTCCAACAGGTGTATTAACTCCATACTATGTTGGAGGTTGATGGAGTTACTTATGAGGACCCACAGGACATTGGGACTTAAATGGTGAGTTTTTATCAAAATCTTTATTGGGAACAGTTTGACTGGAAGCCCGAGTTGGAGGGGTTAGATTTTTTTACTATCACTAAGGAGGATGCCAGCTGGTTAGAGAGACCATTTGGGGAGGATGAGATTCGGGAGGTAGTGTTTAGCATGAATGACGACAAAGCACCAGGATTGGACGAATTCTCTATTTCACTTTATAAAGCTTGTTGGGAAGTGGTGAGACCGGACATTGTGGAGGTTTTTACTTATTTCTTTCAATGAGGTAGGTTCTTGAGAAGTTCTAATGCTACATTTATCGCGTTGATTCCAAAAAAATCGGGAGTGTCGGATATTAAAGACTTTCATCCCATAAGCTTGGTAAGTAGGGTCTACCAGATTATAGCAAAGGTGCTGGCAAATAAGTTAAAGGAGGTGTTGGGGAAAGTTGTGTCTAAATTTCAATATGCTTTTGTCAAAGGGCGACAGATATTGGATTCCGTACTTATAGCAAATGAATGCATTGCCTCGAGATTGCGAATAGGGATTTTATGTAAGCTTGATATTCAATTGGCATATGATCACGTGAACTGGAGATTCCTTTTGTATATGCTCAGACGATGTGGTTTCGGGGATAAGTGGTGTCGATAGATTCAGTTTTGTATCTGTACGGTTTCCTTTTCAGTTTTGGCGGACGGCACTCCTGAGGGTTATTTTCGAAGTAGCAGGGGTTTGAAACAAGGGGATCCTTTGTCTCCATTGCTATTTGTTATCGTTATGGAGGCGTTCAGTAGGATGCTTGAGAAGGCTGTAGAGGAGGGTTTGTTGAGGGGCTTTATGATTGACCAATTGAGAGTATCTCATTTGCTATTTGCAGACGATACATTGATCTTCTGTGATATAGATGCTGAGCAATTCAGGAACTTGTGTCGTCTGCTTCTATGCTTTGAAGTTGTATCTGGTTTGAAGATAAATTTGGGAAAATCTGAAGCTATCACAGTGGGAGATGTCGACAACATGGAGTTGGTGGCCATATTTGGTTGTAGGCTTGCGCAGCTACCCATGTCATAACTTGGGCTCCCCTTAGGAGCACGTTTTAAAAGTATACACATTTGGAACAGTATTGTGGAAAAGGTGGAAAGAAGGTTAGCGGGTTAGAAGCCTATGTACTTCTCAAAGGGAGGACATCTTACCCTCATTAAGTCCACCCTATCAAATCTCCCTACTTATTTTTTGTTATTGTTTCCTATTCCCGTCTCAGTGGCAAAAAGATTAGAGAGGATTCAATGGGAGTTTTTATGAGGAGGGGAGGGTTAGGGGAGGAGAGGAAGCTTCACTTGGTTAATTAAAGTGCAGTTTGTTCTTCCCTAAGGACGGGGGGCATCGGATTGAGGAGTTTTGTACTACTTAATAAGGCTTTGCTAGGTAAGTGGTTATGACGATTCCGCATGGAGAGGGAGAGCTTTTGGAGAGAAATTATAGAGGCGAAATATGGTGTTATGGAGGGGGGATGGTGCTCAGTCATGGATCGTGGTTCTTATGGGTTGAGCTTATGGAGGTACATCCGACGAGGTTGGAGAGACTTTCGGGATTGATTGACGTATGTGGTGGGGACTGACAATATTAACAGATTCTGGGAAGACTGTTGGTATGGACATCGACTATTAAGAGTGAAATTTCCTTCTCTGTATCGTGTTGCTTTGAGTGCATCTGCTATGGCGAATGAAGTCTTACACATACATAATGGGAATCTTAGTTGGAACATTGTTTTTTAGAGTAGTTTGCAGGATTGGGAATTGGATGATTATGCGTTGTTTTTGTCCTCTTTATATGAGGTGCACATCAAGGTATGAGAGAATGATTGTAGCAGGTGAAGGTTGGCACGGGATGGTACCTTCTTAGTTAGCTCTTATTTTAGATTTTTATTGGGACCTGTGGAGAGCTCATTCCCTTGGAAGATGGTATGGAAATGTAAACTGCCCTCTCGGGTAGCATTTCTACTATGGACGGTTGTGAGGGGCAGGTGTTAACAGTGGATGACCTTCGAATGAGGGGTTTTTATGTTACAAAATGGTGCTATATGTGTCAGAAGAATGGGGAAACGATTGACCACTTGTTTCTTCATTGTGAAGGTGTTCGTTCCCTGTGGAACGATATTTTGGCTTCTCTACACATGGATTGGGCATTCCCGCGACGTATGGAGGATGTATTGAAAGCATGGAAGAGAAAATTTCATAATAAGGATAGTACACTAGTTTGGAATTTTATTCCGGGATGCATCGTCTTGTGTGTGTGGAGGGAGAGAAACAGTCGCTGCTTTGACGATCATATACGGACAACTGAGCAGATTAAAGAATTGTTTTACATGACATTGTATACTTGGTTTAATGCTGTGGCTTCTACTCGTATAGACGGATTGTCTAATTTTAAGTTGTTTCTTTCTTGTATTAATTGATAATACATTGCCTGTGTATTATCCGTGATTAATCACATATTTGATTATCTAAAAAAAGAATTCTATTACCTGTTTGACTATGAATGGACACACACTAACACGAGTCTACAAGGTCAACGGTCACCAATGTCTTATCTGCTTGGTCAAGTGATCTAAAATTAGCAGCAACCACAATTCTAGTTATGTGATAGGTCGTTTTGTTCAATTTAGATTTTCTGATCCTTTGTTGTCTTCAATGATAGCTGCCACGTTCTCTCGACCAAATAAAATTTTCCAATCTGACTGACCCTGAATATAAACGAATGAGAGAAAAAAAGGAACTTTTCATTTCAAGCTTATACTAGAATTTGATTGTTGCAAGCTATCTTGGTTTTACGTTTGTAGCTGACGCCTTTGAATTTAATTTTTTTGATAGGGACCTATACAATCAAATTCTTAGAAGCTTAATGCTTTAGCTTTTTTCTTTGTTATTCCTTGTGATGAACTAGTAAACCTTTTGAGTTCCTTTCTCCTGTCAATAATCTCCTTTTGATAACTACTGTTGTGTTATTGCTTTCAATTGCCTTTTTCCATTATTTCAACTTTCATTTGTACACAGATGGGTGGCAAATATGTAAATGTCGATATTTGTTGCCAAGTTGCTGTCTTTTTATACTTCTTTGTCGGCAGCTTCAAAGGGAAGGGTTCTCTTATCAATATAAAATTTTACACAAATAACAAGTGGAGAAATTTAATGTTTTTTAGGTTGTTATCATATCTGGTGAAACTGGTTGTGGAAAGACCACTCAGATTCCCCAGTTTATTCTGGAGTCTGAGATTAACTCAGTTCATGGAGCAATGTGCAATATCGTATGTACTCAGCCCAGAAGGATATCTGCAATGTCTGTATCAGAGAGAATTGCCACTGAGAGAGGGGAGAAATTGGGGGATACAGTGAGTCTTGATACCACAAACACAATCATACAGTAGTAAATTATCATATGATTTTGCCTGTGCTAGTATATAATAATGCCTCTCTTGGCAGGTTGGATATAAAGTTCGGCTAGAGGGTATGAAAGGAAGGGATACCCACCTCCTCTTCTGCACAACAGGCATTTTGCTGAGAAGGTTACTAGCTGATAGAAACTTGAAGGGCGTAACACATGTTATCGTGGATGAGATTCATGAACGTGGAATGAATGAAGGTAATTTATTGTCTCAATTGACTATGTATTATATTATTACTACCTATTGGATGCTGTTTTCCTATCTCCCAAGCACTAGGAAGCAGTGACATGCCTTGGGAGCTGGGAATGTCGGTGCCTGACACGTGGCATGCCCTTTTTTCTTTTTCTCTTATAGTTCAGGACACTTTGGCGCCATGCCTCCAACATAGCTAATCCATTTCATAATCAAAATGGAAAAGAAGAGAAACTAACTACCAATAATGGAAACCAAAATGAGAAGCAAGATAATCTAAACTAAATTAGGGCAAAGAGAAAGCTGACCTCAATATTTGGGCAACCAACCTATGATTCCTGTAACCAGCGAACTAAATGCGTAATGAAAATGGTGAAATGGCATAAATAGATGCAATAGACAACAGTAAGGGAAATGGAGAGCCATGGAGATTCGAGAAGCGGGGGGAGAGGGAAGCTTTTGGACAAGAAGGGGGAAGAGGGAGAGGCAGGTGGAGACATTCTAGAGATTGGAGAAACCTTTATGAAATGAAAAGGCTGTGAATTAGGAGGGAAGAGGGAGAGAAGGATAGAATATTCTGGAGATCGATAAGAATAAATTAGATGGGGGCCTTAAAATCCAATGAGATGTGGGCTATGAGCCAATTTGCTAGATGACCCATTCTGATGTTTGTGTTGGGCCACCTTTCCTGTAGATACGCAAATTGGCCCAATTACTTAGATGACCCACATGAAAAGAATTTTTATTATGAAAAAAAAAAAAATGAAATTCATATTTTAAAATATTTAATCAATATTGCAACTTGTCTGCTTTTTACCTTTTTGAAAAATGACATGCTGGCATGTCTGTGCTTCTTACCTTAGGCATGGGATATGACATTCTTGAGTCAAGAAGCTCTTTTTGTTATTAAAAAATAAAGAGTAATTGGCACAATACTCCCTAACGTTTGCTTGTTTTGTGGAATATCCCTTAACTTTTCATTATGGCGCAAAACCCCCTAAATCACCCAAACATTGTGGAATACAACATTTTTGTCGTTTTTCTTATAAAATAACGAATTTACCCTCTTCTTTAAATAAAAAAAGAAAAGAAGAAAAAAATACAGAATTAATTGCGTCCATAATTCCAAAATTTTCAAAAAGTGTAAACGAGTCCCGAGTAAAACAATTAATTTAGAAGAAATAAAATTAAAAAAAAAACATTTATCTTCTTAAGATCCCATCCCTCTGCCGTTGTCGCCGCCACCGCCAGTTCTAACTCTTGTAAAGTATTGAGCTTTCATTTCTTTCCATGTAGTCAAAGTGACTAGCATTATTGAAATGCTGGAAAAGGACTCCAATAGCAACATAGATTTATCACTTAACTAAGAAATAGAATTAGAATGTATTACATAGAGTAATAACACTAAAACAAAAAACCTGAAAAAAGAGGAGTTGGCAATTGGTTCAATTGATCCAAATAGGTTGAATTAGCTTTACAGGCCAAGAAGGTGCCCTCAACGAGGCCTGCAAGGGTCCAAGAGGCGGCAGCCATGACTCATATTTTTTGAGCAATTATTGCACTTTCAACTTGAGGGTGGCGTAGTGGTAGCGATTGCTATTGAAAGTGTGCTCAGAGTAGATATTGTTGCTCTCCATGAGTATGTGGGCGACATCTAAATGGCACGCCTAGTAGGCATAATTTAAACTATAAAGCAATAGAGTCCCATTGATCATGAGTGTTGATGTTGACGCCTAAGTCGAGGAGGTAATGGAGATTGTTGACATCATTGGCAGAAGAGGCCCAAAAAATGTCGTAAGGGGATTGATGACTTGAAATCTTCAATCAATGTCGTCAAGGTTGGACATGGTTAGTATTCGTCTCTTTCTAGTTGAATAGTTACACTTTTAAAAAGTGTGCAGAAGAAGTGTGTGCGCATGATAACAATGATCTCTTTTATTATAAGAGTTTATGATAATAGATTAACAATAATAAATTTTAATTTATAATAGGTAATGGTGGGGGATAGGATTTGGAGAAGACAAATGTTTTTTAATTGTTTTAATTAGGACTCGTTTGCACTTTTTGAAAATATGGGATTATGGATGCAGTCAATTCTTTATTTTTTTCTACTTTTCTTTTTTATTTTAAGAGGAGGGTAAATTTGTCATTTTATGAGAAAAAGAGACGAAAAGGTTGTACTCCGCAATGTTTAGGTTATTTTGGACATTATCATCATCTGCAGACAAATCCTGATTCTCTTTCATCATTAGCTAAAGTGGAATAGTATGATTAGATTTTCGGAAAATAAGACGAAAGACGATTTATCGATATGATAAACATGCGCTCAGAAAGACCTCCTAAACCCCCCTCCAAGTGATCGAGTTTAGTCTGAATTTGCTGTAAAAGTTTTTCTCGCTCCGGACTGACTTCAAAGAATGATGAAATTGGGCAATTCAATTCCGCCGGTTCTTAAGCAAGCCTTAATTATTATATTGATTGATATTAAGAGAAAAAGTCTTTTTTCTAGATTAAGAGGTGAGTGTGAGTAAGGGAGCGAAGCTTGAAGCTTCTCACGCACCAAAATAAAAGGTTAGGGGTATTCCACAAAACATGCAAACATTGGGGGTATTGTGCCAATTACCCTACAAAAATGCCATTAATAACCATTTTGCGTATTTTATTGCAGATTTTCTGCTTATTGTTTTGAAAGATCTACTACCTCGTCGACCAGAACTAAGGCTAATTCTGATGAGTGCAACCTTAGATGCAGAACTCTTCTCATCATATTTTGGTGGGGCTCCAATGGTCCACATTCCGGTGAGCTAGTGGTCTTCTTGGTCATGTCCTTGCACAAATAAAATATTTGAATATCGTGACTGATCCAATATTGTTAGTTTCTCTTAATTGTGTTTCTTGTATGAATATTGCTTTTCCGAAATGTTAGCATAGTCTTTGTCAATACAACGTGCTTTCTGCCACTAATTCTTTTAGTTGATAGTTATATGTCACATGACATGTTGAGCTACAAACAGCGATCCAAGTCTTATTCCAAATAAACTTGGAGTTTATAAGAAAATAATGATATGTTTTAGCTTTTAGACACTATTCATAAAAAATCTCAACCATTTTATGTGACAACTCGAATTCTAAACTATTTGAGTGTCACTAAATAAAACTTAAATTCTTTCATAAGAACTAAAATAATAACACGAGATAATTTTTTCTTCAACAAGTAAATAAATTGTAGTCTTATTATGTAGCTGCGAAAAATAAAGAAAATAATTCCGACATAACAACTGAATTAGAAATTTAAAGTTGTGTTTTTAAACACAAAATAATTTATTAAACCTAGCCCCATAGTGATCTCCACGTTGACTGTCTCGAACCATCAATCGTCTGAAAGAGAGAATTATCATAGAGTGAGATTTATAAAATTTCAATAAGTACGCCATGAATTATTATTGTGTATAACTTAAAGGAGCATAATAATTATAATCAACATAATGGATATATAAGAATTTTATCGAACGTAGGTGGTAAGAATTCTTATGAGTAGCGCTACTAAACTCCGGTCCCCTTAACATAATTATAATCATATTATAACGTATAGAACCCATAATAATTTTCTTGAAATTCATAACATAACAATAATTCAACATAGGCAGCGTACTTACAATGAAATTTGAAGGAAAGAGTAATAGAGACTTGATCCCTCTACAATTTCCACCTCGACTTATGAACGTGTATATTATTTAGACTGAAAATTATAATAGTGAGTGGTAGCATGTGAATGTGAATGAGGGGTTTAAATAAGGATAAGATTAGGCATGTATCTTTAAGGAAAAATTCATGATGGTGGAAATTGTTCCTTGAAATTTGTGAAATGAGCAAGAATCTCTCTCTCATTCCTATATTCATGCATTCACACTACACATTACCTTATGTTTGGTCAATCAAGCATAAATCAAGAATTTTCCATGTAAGTGTTTGACCAAGAATTTAATCACAAACACGTGGAAATTAGCATTTATGGTAAATTTGCTACAAGGTCCTAGGTGGATTAACCCTCAAATGAGCCCCTAATTTTTCATTTTTGATAATTAGACTCGGAAATTCGGGTGCGGGTGTTATATATTATTCATAAAAACCAACAGAAATAATGGCACGAATAAGGCCTATCCTAGTATATGCAATGAGTAATTGATTCTATCAGCTTTAGATTTGACATATCCCTCTAATTGAGGATCTTATACATTTCTCATGAGAGTTAACTAAATAAATCTTTTTCCGCCACCTTTTTCAATTCGACGACAGATCTACCAAAGGTCCAATGATATCACATCTTTTGCAACGACATAAAATCATGTTAATTTCGTTCTACATCTCTCTCTTTAACTTGTCCTACAGGGATTACTCGCCTCTTGTGAACATGAGCTTCTTTAGGTTTATTCAAGACATATACCAATTATGCCCTTGTTTGAGCCCCATTTTTTTGGAAAAATTCATTTTTCAACAGTGTTTTGACATTATTTCAACCACACATTCTTTAATAAAATAATATTTCACATAAATCCAAAAAAATTTCTTATTTTTTAACCACACATTTCCCATCAATACACTATTCAAAAATCCATTCTACCCAAAAAAATGGGGCTCAAACAAGGGCTATATGATCACTTTTGCTTTCCGTATCATCAGTTAGTGCCATCACAACTTGTTAGTGTATCTGATTTATAATTTTACTCATTCTAGTATGGCCAAACATACATGTTAAGCATCCTCGTTTAGCATGTCTATATTACTTAGTTTAGATCATTAGTTCTTGTATCTCTTTGCCAAGATATCTTGTAATCTTCTTACTCTGTATTATTGGTTAGTCAACTCATTCCACATTATTTAGCCCATGTTTGGGCTCCTTTCAATAAGGTTTTGGGTAAAATGTATTTTGGAATATTAATTTTTTTTGAGAATGAGTGGTTAAAAAGTAAGGAAAAGTTTTCGGTTTACATGTAAATTATTTTATTGAAAAATGTGTGATTGAAAATGAAGAAAAAGAAAAATACATTAAATTAAATTGGAGCCCAAAGAGTTAATATTTTTATATGTCCTTCAGAGTTCTCTCTCTTAAAGTTACTCATATTTCACCATATACATCCCATTATCTTGTCCTATAAACTTGAATGTCTTTGAATCTGTTTTCCATTTCCTGATGACCACACCATCACCGCTAACCGGTGTTATTTGTTTAATTCTAGCCAAAAGTACCTTATAATCCATGCATAATGTACTACTAGCATCCAAGGATGACTATGCGACTAAAAGTTGCCTCTTACCATCTATGTTATGTGGCATGTTCAAGAAAAAAATGTTACATGGTGTTTGTGGTGTTGGCATACACTTCAGGCAGTTGACCGGTATATAAAATCCATTAAATAACAAAACAATATTGAACATGTAAACTAGCATTACTCCAAAGGTTGGATCATTAGATAAATGGAATGCCATTGGGGTAAAAAAACGTATAAAAGTTTTTGACATAGTGGTTGGTAGATTTGTGAGATGAGGAAATGGACTGCAGTAGTGGAAATCAGGGAATCCAGTTTTAGCGGTTTCTCAATGCAATAGTACAGGGTGGATTGATTATAGAGCATTTGCTAATGTACTTTGTAGGAATTATGGAGTTCTTATCACCTTAACATTAATAGCTTTTTTATGTGAGTGTAAAGAGTTAATTGCTTCCTGACTTTTCTACAGAAAGGATAGAGGAAAAGAGATTTGGCAACAGTTTATCATTTTTGTTTTGTTTGTGTTTGGGCACAGAGGGATTGTTTTTGAAGATGGAGGATTCAAATGTAAATAAATGAATAATCATGACCACCTCCCACTGTTCCACTCCTATAACCAGTGAATCGCCTAGTCATATTGGCTCACACTCTACATGCATATGGCTGCAACTCTTTTTAGTGCATTTGACAAATTTCCGTTATTGAATTTTTCTTTTTGGTTTAGTGAAGTAACAAATTTCTTTATAGTTCTACTTATAATGGTAATACCTGTTTACCCAAAAATTCAAAATTTTCTTTTAGGTTGTAAACATGACCACATTGTATCCATGGATGTATAGACATTTGTACTTTACTTTTATTTTTCATAAATGTGTCTATGAGCATGTGTCGGTAGCTTATTTCGGTCAAGAAATGTGAGAAGAAGCAATTTTATTTTTTTATTTTTTTGCTTCTTACTTAGAAATAAACTAAGCCATATGTGCTCTGTGGAACATTTGGTAGTACTATGTTGAACTTGAATGTTTTTAATTTTCCTTCTCTCTTCAAAACAGATATGTAATAATCTGATGCAAAAAGAAATAACTCAAAGGCTGTGGTAGTTGTGTTTTGGCAGATTATTAGTATGTTGTGGACCAGCTAATTCTGGAGACCTCTGAATTTGAGGCCATAATCACTAGCACAATTTCTGGTTGAGGTTCTTTTGATGATATACTCGGGGTGCCCTATTTGTTTTTAGTTATCATATTGTTTAATAAAGATAACTTAAAGCAATTAGAGGTTAGTTAGCAGTTAGATTTTATTGTGAACTTCATTTCTTCTTCCTTTTTAACTTAATAAGCTATTTTCAATAGATACTGATTCACCTAATAGCTTGACAAATCTTGTATGTGAACTTACCTTATATTTCTATTTGTTTGTTTTTTATTTAGGGTTTCACTTATCCAGTACGAACTCATTTTCTAGAAAATATTTTGGAAAGGACGGGATACCAATTGACACCATATAATCAAATTGATGATTATGGGATGGAGAAGATGTGGAAAATGAGTAAACAAGCTCCAAGAAAGAGAAAGAGCCCAATTGTTTCTGCTGTTGAGGTAGTTTAACTGCTAGTTCTCATATCAAGATGTTATCATATCTGTGCTGATATGTTCATCTTGTTGGAAAATGTTATTAGGAGGCACTTAAAGCTGCTGATTTCAAGGATTATAGTGCTCAGACACGGGAATCTTTGTCTTGCTGGAATCCTGATTGTCTAGGTTTCAACCTCATAGAATATCTTCTGTGCTATATATGCGAGAATGAAGGGCCTGGTGCTGTTTTAGTTTTTCTGACCGGGTGGGAGGACATAAACTCCTTGAAGGATAAGCTGCAAGGTCATCCTGTAGTAGGAGATACTAGTCGAGTTTTATTGCTTGCATGCCATGGTTCCATGGCCAGTGAGGAGCAGGTGAATTCGTATTATAGTGGGAAAAACAGCTTTTAATGTAAATTTTTCTCTATTTTGTTTGTTTATGTATTTTTTTGATATTCACAGAAATTAATATTTGACAAGCCTGTAGATGGAATAAGGAAGATCGTTCTAGCTACCAATATTGCTGAAACCAGTATTACTATTAATGACGTGGTTTTTGTTATTGACTGTGGAAAGGCAAAAGAGACGTCATATGACGCTCTAAACAATACTCCTTGTCTGCTTCCTTCTTGGATTTCCAAGGTTTCAGCTCAACAAGTACGTGAAATTTCATCTTAAAGCTTAATTATTTTGTCAGGGGAATCAAATTGCCATTTGGTGCTTGTAAAATTTGTTATTCTTTGATGCTCTCACTTCAAATTACTTAATGTTTGTTGGTTTATGTACCACAATCTAACAGATATTATTACTCAAAAGACCTCAAAATAGGTTTTGAAAAAGATACCTTACTTTACTGTGAATTTGGCATTGGCAATATAAATTAAGTGGTTTTGTACTTTAAATTACTGAGCGGTTATAAAAGCAAGGAACTGGTGTCAACAGCCCTCTAGCATGTGGATAACTCACATATGCATAGATCTAAGCTCTTGGCTGGGGTTTCATTTCAGACTGAATTTGTCATATTATTTTGAATAGTTCTGTAAAGAATTGTTTGTTGCTTTTGTTGTAGGCACCACTATGGAGACTTTACTGTTGGCTCCTCCTTAAACATATTATAACTGATATCAAATCTTTGTAATATGTTTGAGCAGCTCATGACTGTGTAAATTAAGGAAATTGTTGGTAGTACATCTTGTTAAAAAAGAAGTGGTAATGACCCAATCAAGTAAATTGACTTGAATATGTTGAAAATGTGACCCATGTAATCATACCAATTTTTTTGATGTATTTGATAATGGCGTTACTACATGCCTGGGGCCAATGTTTTAAAAATCATTTGAGGTGAGGGGTGCCTCAAATCGAGGTGACAAAAGTGAGTGTCAAGGTGTAATCTTTGAGACCCTATGCCCAGGCATAAGCCTCAGTTTAGTGAGGCGCACACCTGAAGGCTTGTGAGGTGTTTGCTCAACTTTCTGAATCCCTTTTTTGATGCCATGAGGGCTGGAGCCTATAAAGGTGAAAAACCTCCTTTTTTTCCTTGCCAATTGCTTAGTGCCTCTTTTTGTCTTTGCCTCCCTCGAGCGCACAAAGTCCCTTTCCATTTTATTTATAAATTTAACCTGCTCTCAAAATCCATTGCAACCATTACTTGTGATGCTCTTTGACATGTAAGGCTACAAGAAGTAGAAGCGTCCTGGCAAAGCTTCAAACGAAGTTAGAAGGTTCCTGGGAAAACTTCAAACAAAGAGGTTGGGCTGTCCACTTCATTGATTTGACTTCACTTTATCTGAGATTAAAGGTAGGGACCAGGCTGGCAATATTGGCGCTTATACCAATTTGCCATTGTGGCCGGAGGGAAGAGATGAAAAGTTGGTTAAAGCCTAAAGGATCCATCTTTCAAATCATATGGATTACTAAGAAAATTGATTTATTAAGTAGCTTAGCAAGAAGCCCCCAAATCCTTGCCAAAGAGAGGTCTCATCTTTAGAGAAGCCCAAATTGAGTACCCATCTTTTAAAGGTTTGGTTTGGTGAATCACGAGGATATTTTTTACTGTTACTCCCCATGCCATGAGTTGTAACTTCGCATCCTGCCTTTAGATTTTATCGACTTGCATGCTGATGAGCTCTTTCTGTTGTCGATACTGACACTCCTTGGACATTATGTAAATGTTGTGAACCGTGTGCGTTAATTTAGGTGTAAACGAGATGTATATGGTAGGAGTATAAGTCTAGAATTATTTCCTTGTTAGATAGGATTATTTCCTTTTGAGAAATAATCTCTGCATGTATATATATGTGTACCTGTTGGTGAATTAATAAGAGAAAGAGATTTATGTGTACCCATTGGCTACATCACTTATTTGGGGAGATTGGCATCGAGGAGTTCTACTCTATGAACTTGTGGTGTGATAATCAAGTAGCTATTCACATTGCCATTAATCCGGTATTTTATGAGAGAATAAAGCACATAGAGGCAGACTGTCATTTTGTTTGTGAAGAGTTACGGCTAGGGTTGATTTTGATTAAGTATGTCAGGAAAGGTGATCAATTAGCTGATGTGTTCACTAAAGCCTTAGTTGGGAATCGAGTAAACTATATTTGTAACAAGTTAGGCATGATTGATATCTATACTCCGGCTTGAGAAGGTGTGTTATAAACTGTGCGCATTAATTTAGGTGTAAACGGGATGTATATTGTAGGTGTATAAGTTTAGTATTATTTCCTTGTTAGATAGGATTATTTTGTTTTGAGAAATAATCTCTGCATGTATATATATATATGTGTACTCGTTGGTGACTTAATAAGAGAAGGAGATTTTCCCAAATCAATCAACAGTACATATTTTTCATTTTTTTTTATTAAAAACTCAAAGTTATTAGTAAATAATCAATGGATATTGATATTTAAAAGATTTTAACAAGAAAAACTAATAACAAGTATAAAATTAAATATATACTACATAAATGAAGAAGTTTAAAGAATTTAATCGACGTGTTAGTGACGGGTCGTGTTAGCGTATCAGACACGATTCATGTCGGTGTATCATAGGATATTTTTTATCTTAATTGTTCTAGTAGGAAAACTTGAAAAAGTGTAGTCCCTTTATTCTAATGGAGTTTATCATTTTGGGAATTGGAAGTTGTGTTGTTTGAATTTGCATAACCCTTGCTAGGGTGAAGTACTCTTCTCTTGCGCACTATTATAGGCTATTATTATCAGCCAATAAAGCCCCAAAACTGAGAAAACCATTACCTTACACCAAACTCAATTGTCATGGAACCCACCAGTTTTAATTCTTTTAGATATTTACAATTCAGTATCAAGCAAGAAACTGTATAAGAAAATTCAACTCCTACCAAAACGTGGAAATAAATAACAAACACCCTCAAGATAATTGTGTAGAAAACCATTCCTAGCATTCCTTACGCCATATATCCTTGAAATGATCTGCAAACACGATCTCCTATATGATTTTGATCTTCTATCATGTTTCCCATGTCATTAGCTGCCGGATGTGATGTTTGATATGTCTGCTAGAACGTGCTCTGATCTAGGGGGAATTTTAATGTTCACAGTTGCTTGAATATATTATTTCGGTGTTTAAAAATTCCGAAGTAACTTTATCTCTTCATAAATTATCAGAGAAAAGGAAGAGCTGGACGTGTTCAGCCTGGAGAATGTTATCATCTCTATCCAAGATGTGTATATGATGCTTTTGCAGATTGTCAATTACCAGAAATTTTAAGGACCCCGCTGCAGTCTCTTTGTTTACAAATTAAAAGTCTGAAACTGGGTAGTATTTCTGAGTTCCTGTCAAGGGCATTGCAGTCACCTGAGTATCTAGCGGTAATGCTTATTCAGATATGTTCTGTTTTATGGAAATAGCTTGCGCCATGACTCACGTAAAAATGTATGTGTCAACAACAATGTCTTAAGGTTGTTATGCAACTTTTCCTTCACATTTGCTGCTAGGTTCAAAATGCTATTGAATATTTAAAGATCATTGGGGCTTTGGATGAGAATGAAAATTTGACTGTTTTAGGTATGAATAAGACTCCTAATTTCTCAATTTTATGCTTATTGAGGTTGCATTCTCTTGTAAGTTTGGCTGATGTCCTTGACAGGACGCTACTTAACAATGCTTCCAATGGAGCCAAAACTTGGTAAAATGCTTATACTTGGTGCTATATTGAATTGCCTGGACCCAATGTTAAGTGTTGTCGCTGCTCTAAGTGTCCGAGATCCTTTCTTAGCCCCAATGGACAAGAAGGAAGTAAGTCAGACTTCAAAGTTTTAAGTAATTATATTATGAATTGTGTGGATCTTGCTGATATATTGTTGACACAGTCACACTCAATTCTGATGCTATTTATCATTTGCAAATTCCGGCTTCTTTGCCTATTTTTTATCACATTGTCATTGCAATTGTTCTATGGTTGACGTTGACTAACTACTATTAAATCCTATATTGTGATTTTTCCTGTCTTTTAAAGAGTTTTTTACTCATTCACCTCACTTTGCTTTTCAATTCTGATACTCTCTCAGCCCATCCATCTCTCTTTTTGTAGCAATTTGCTTATTTAGATTACCATGATCTTCAGAGACACATAAAAAAGGAGAGGATTTCCATCCATGCATACAGTTAATTAACCCGTTGTTCAGCGTTCATGACAGTAACTTAAACCACTCTTTCAGTAGTGATTCTGATAAACATTAAACTAAACTTTTGTTTGAGCCCCATTGTTTGAAAAAAAATTGATTTTTTATTAGTGATTTTTTGGAGAATGTGCAGTTAAAAAATAGATAAAAATTTTGGGTTTATGTATAAAATTATTTTATTGGGAGAATGTATGATTGAAAATAAGTTTTTAGATAATGGAGCTCAAACATGGGTTAGGTATGTTTTGACCTAGCCTGGAAAAGAGGCTTGGGGCTTAATAGCTAAAGCTGAGAAGACAGAAGATAGAAGAGTCGGAAAGCTGGAAGAGAAGTGTAGAGCAGAAATTTTGAATATATCAAATCAATTATAAATTATTCAGAAATACCAGTCCAATTTATACTAAAGCTCCTAATAAAAATGAAAGTTGCCAAATAACAAAATGAAAAATTTCCTTAAAACTAATAATTATGGTAAGAGAACAAATCAAAATTCAGTTCTTACTTCCTAAAATAAGTGTATATTTTGCCAAGTCTTCAATGAAATCGCCATCCCAATCTCCAGTTGACCCCCCTCCCCACCCCCCGTTAGATTGCTTGTGGGGATGCTTATTCCATGCTTCAAAAGCAGTTTGAGGAACTTTCTAGATGTAAATGGTTTCTAGGATATTCTGAGCTTTGTTGCACAATTTTGGTTTTTGGTTTTAAAGGCTTTTTAAGATTTTATTTCTATCTTCAATTAAGATGTAAAACAAATATTGGTCAATGGATCAAGCTAAAAATGTTTGTGCATTGTATACCTTAGTGCTTTTAAGAAGTAGATGCAGTGAACAGCATTGTTTGATTTCATGGTTTTCCTTTGGCACGAACAAGAAAAAAAAAGCTAATTAACCTAACGATTAGGGTTTGTAACTTTAAGGTTTCTCATCATGGATGTCAGTTTTATGATCTAACTCTAGATGCTTCATTGCAACTATGCAGTGAAGCCTGACAAGATGATATGTTACCAATTTTATAGTTGAGGTTTGAACTTGTATTTTCCATGACAGAATTTTTGTGAAACTGAAACTTCGTGGTTTCTAAAGTTAGTTCTCTTAGGAACTTCAACATCAACTATGTTTGACACTTATTCTATTACCTTATTGAAGAATTCAGCAATACACCTAAGCAAAAGCTAGATGCTTGTTCCTATCATCGGTGCTGCTTTATTATCTCTCATTTCTTTCTTAAACTCAGTTGAGTAAGACCAAGTACTTAAGTGTACTCCTAGTCAATGTAGAAGTACTTAAGATTTAATGGGAGTTGAATGTCATGAAATAGAGTGGAAAGTCCAGCATTAATTCAAATGTAGTTCCCAAAGAGAACTAGATCCAGACTAATTGAGTTAAAATAAACTAGCGTCTTAATCTTTTGTGTGGCTGGTGGATTCAGGGAGGATTATTAGGAAAATTGTATAGGAACTTCCATAAAGATGTTATGTGGGGCTGAATGTTGTGGTATTAAGAAACATCTATGTAATCAAAGATTGGTAAGAATAATACATTAAAAATGGAATTTAAAATTACAGCAGATAGAGTAAGCAAGGAGGTAATTTCTGCTTCTCTTCCCTAATGATCTTCCATTAACGTGAAGCCTTTGCAAATTTCACTGCGTACTTTACAGGCAGACAGTAATTAAAATTCTCTGGCTACATTGAGATTCCTTCCTGAAATGCTTGAGGCTGTTATGCCTTCATGAACAGTATTAATTTAATCTGAAGTGTGGAAGATAGATCCCCCCCCCCCCCCAAACCCACCTGCATAAAGTAGGAACTAGCACATTATTCATCTTTGCCACAGGGCTAAACATCTGTCCGTTTCAGTCACATACTGATTCAAGGAAATTATGGTGCACCCTGGGGACATAAAAACTGAAAAAATTAATGTTTTATTGATTATGTTGAAAGAACTTTACATGCCTGAATTGCAACTGGTTGCTTAGGAATTTGTGATCGAATTTTCTAGGTGATTAGTGATGGCAATAACACTGAAATATTGGAGACTGGTTGAGACGATGAACGCAAAGCTAGCTCCCTATTATGATGATATAGTATGAGGAATTGCTGGTAATGTTAATGTCTTCTTTCTCAGTTAGCAGAAGCTGCAAAAGCTCAATTTTCACGTGATTATAGTGATCACCTCGCTCTTGTTCGGGCATTTGAAGGGTGGAAAGTTGCCGATAGAGATCTTGCTGGATACAAATATTGCTGGAAGAATTTCCTGTCTGCACAGTCCATGAAAGCTATTGATTCTCTTCGCAAGGAATTCTACTCTTTGCTAAAGGATATTGGCCTTGTCGATAGCAATCCAGTCAATTACAATACATGGAGCTATGATGAGCACCTTCTTCGAGCAATTATTTGCTATGGCTTGTATCCTGGAATCTGCTCTGTTGTGGTAAGCCATGGTTATATTGTCTGTTGCTAAGTTGCAACATATATATGCAAGTGTGATGCAAAATAAAATATCATTTGTTGGCCAACATTCTAATACTTTAGCTGTGTTACCATGACCTAGATTATTTTACATTAACGTAGTAAATGAAGTGCCTCCTACCATTATTCTAAAAAATTAAAAAATAAAATGGGCTCCACTGGTATGTATCAAGAGTGTTGGTAAGTTTCCTACAGTCAACTGAGCTCAACTTTCAATCCCTTTTCCATTTCTATTAACGTCATGTAAATGCATTAACAGCACAATGAAAAATCCTTCTCCCTTAAAACGATGGAAGATGGGCAGGTGCTTTTGTACTCTGTAAGTGTTTTGCTGGCTTAGTATCTCCTTGTTTTGTTTGAGATCTATGACACGTGGCCTAATTGTCTTTCTCATGGTCTCTTTTAATTATTGGCCTAGAATTCGGTTAATGCGCGTGACTCAAGGATACCATATCCATGGCTTGTTTTCAAAGAAAAGATCAAAGTTAACTCTGTCTTCCTGCGGGATTCAACAGCTGTGTCTGATTCAGTGCTGCTACTATTTGGTGGAGGCATCTCAAAAGGAGATATGGTAAATTTCTCAATCAGCAAATGATTATTTTTAGCCCCTAGCGTACTGTGCAGGTTTTCAGCTACATGTTGGGATTTATGTAGTTGTAACTTGTTGATTTCTTGTGATGATTTGAAATCTTTGTCTTATTTGACAAGGACGGTCACCTAAAAATGCTGGGTGGATGCTTGGAGTTCTATATGGAGCCAGCTACAGCAGAACTGTACCAGAGTTTGAAGAGAGAGCTTGATGAATTTATTCAGACAAAGGTAAGTGAAACAATGAAGAAAAACCCATTCTCTGTTTCTGCTATGTCATTTATTTCTCAGTTAAATGGCTGTTGGAGTTTTCTGTTGTATTATGTTGCCTATCAAGTAAAAAATTAGTATGTGTTGGTTTTGTTGCGAGAAGAGGTTTGGTATAAACTTTTGAGTGAAGAAGTTCATCATCTTCCTCTCTTTAGCTTTCATTATATAGAGAACCAAAAGTACAAATATGGAAATACAATAAATCACATTATACTCTTGCTTAATATACATTATTATAATTTATTTATTTTCTTGAAACTTCCCCTCAAGTTGGAGCATATATATTGTATAAACCCAACTTGGAACATAGAAACTTCTACCGATTACCATTCGACGACTTTGTAAACATATCAGCAAATTAATCTCCTATTTCCACAAATAGTGTACATATATCACCACTCGCTATCTTATCCCGAATGATGACAATCAACTTCAATCCGCTTGGTTCTTTCATGAAAGACTGGATTGGACGCAATATGTAGAGCAGCCTGATTATCACAAGGCATTGGAATAGGGGTAGAAGGTGAGAGACTGGTTTCTTGAAGAAAGTACTGCAATCACGTTAACTCACTAGTAGCATGCTCCAATTTCCCATATTTTGCTTCTGCACTTGACCTTGCTATTATGTTTTGTTTCTTACTTTTTCAATAGATAAGATTGCTATCGAGAAAAGTACAGAAATCAGTAGTGGATCGTTTATTTTACGGAGATCTCGCCTAGTCTGCTTTTGTAAATCCTTCTATTCTAATATGTCCATTTGGTTTATATAATAATATGAGGATTGGAACCTTTTTCACATAACGAATAATACGTAGCCTAGCTTCCCAATGAGAAACTTGAGGAACATCCAATAATTGACTAACAATACTAACTGCATAGGAAATATCCGATCATGTGATGGTAGGATAATTTCATTTTTCAACCAAACGAAGATATTTTCCTAGTTCTCCAAAAGGTTATCCATCGTTCTTCAAAAGCTTCACATTAGGATCCATGGGAGTATCAATTGGACGATTTACGAGAAATCCTATCTCATCTAACAAGCCAAGTACATATTTTCTTTAAGATAAGTTGAGACCTGCTGGGGACCTAGCGACTTCAATACCGAAGAAATATCGAAGTTTGCTTAGATCTTTAGTCTGAAAATATTTTTTGTAGAAACTGTTTCAATCGGACAATCCCATCTGTCTTACACCTTTGAAGACCAAATTCCATGACAACCTTAGAAAATTGTCCAAACCATGCTCTTGGTAATTGCTTTAATCCATACAAAGCCTTTTTCAATTTTCAAACATAGTTTTGTACTTCTTTGAGCAACAAACGTATGTCGTTGCTTCATATAAACTTTTTCGTGCAAGTCACCATGAATGAGTGCATTTTTAATGTCCAATTGAAACAATGTCCAATCAAAATTAGCAGCAATAGAAATCAAAACACGAATAGAAGAGACCTTAACAATTGGAGAGAATGTCTCATCATAATCAATACAATAGGTCTGTGTATAACCTTTAGCAACCAGTCGGGCTTTCAACCAATCAATAGTTCTATCAGGATTGAACTTTGGAATATAAACCCATATGTTACCAACATGATGTATTCCAGGAGGTGATCAAGTTTACAAGTCATATTCTCGTGCAAGACTGACATTTCTAATTCCATATCCTTTTGCCACTTTAGATCAGATAAAAAGCCTCCGTAAAACACTAGAAAGTTATGATGTAAAACACGAAAATGAAGGTGACAACGAATCAAAAGTGTCATAGTGACTGATAGGATGCTTATTTACACAAGAACGTTTAACGGGTAGGGCCATAGGCATTGGTAGCTTAGATCGTTGAGTATGAACTTGTAAAGGAGGAGGTGATTCCTTATAAGAGGATGACTTTGGTGCAGTAGACGGAGACGGGTCTAGATCTGAAAAAATACCAACCGGTAGATATTATATGGGTAAGCTAACGGAATCTTAAGTGAATTCGAAAGATGTACTATGATTAGAGAACTAGGGGGTGGACTCGTCGAAAGTGACATCTATATTTACAGAGTAGCATTGTAGAGAAGGATTGTAGCATCTATACCCCTTCTGCCTGTGGGAGAAACCAAGGAAAATACATTTCTCAGTCGAATTTGTTATGAATAGGACCAAAGTGATTGACATAACAAACATACCCAAATCTTGAGAGGTAACGAGTATTGTGGAGAAGAGGAAAACAAAAGAGAGAAGGGAGATGTACCATCCAAAACAGAGGATGTTATGTGATTAACGAGATAACATGTAGAAAGACAACATCATTCCAAAAAGTCTAGGGACATGTATATGGCAAAGAAGAGCACAAGTAAATTCTAACAAATGACGATTTTTGCATTCTGCAACTTCATATTGTTGTGGAGTATATGCACAAAATGTTTAATGAATAATGCCTTTGGAAGAGATAGGATGCAAAAGAAGCAGGCTTATTTTTTGGCATTATTAAATCGTAAAATACAAATTTTCTGATTAAAGTATGAAAGATTTGAAAGATAGAAAGTAACTCGACGATTTTTCATTAAGAACAACCAAGCCATACGATAATAGTCATCCACAAAAGTGAGAAAATATTGAAATTTATTAGAGGAAATATTGATTGGTCCCCATACATTAGAATGAACCATCTCAAATAAATTAGAAACATGAAGGACAATCGACAAATCAATATTAGGACTAAAATGGGCATTGCTTGAGCCCGCAACACTAATTTAGGAGCCGTTAGCAAATGAAACACGTTTGGAAGAAATGACAGGATGATAATCAAGAAGAGAAGTAGAAGTAGTCATGTCTTCAGTTGTTTTGAAATCTATAATCTATGGATTGTGAGAGGATGACAATAGACAGTGAGAAGATGGAGTACCTGACTAAGCGAGAGTGGCTATAGAGCTGGAGCTTGGAAGTGGCATGTTTATGAGATAAGAGCCCAGCATGCTCATCCCGTGGTACAATTAAGAAATCAAATTCTGGTGTTGAACTAGAGTTAGCTACTCGTCCAGATACAGGGTTATGGGCCTCATTAGACGAGACCTGATTGGCAGATGCGGTTGGTTTTCCATGTAAGTCCCAACAATAATCAACGGAGTGACCTATACAACCACTGTGAGTACGTTTTCGAGGTTCACAATTTTTCGAACTACTACCTCTAATGTCTCGTCCACTCCGAGAGCTAAAACCACCTCTGTTACATCCATTCCGACCACCATGTCCAACCTAGGATGAGCTACCTCGAGCAATAAAAGAAGAACGATCGCTAAGAGTACTATATGATAGAGTAGAACAGTTAATGCGAGAGAATGTCTCCGCAAGACTAGGAAGTTTTTTCCCACCTAATATTTGTGCCCGAACTGTTTCAAACTTTGAAGGAGGGCCGATAAGAAATTTAACATCAATGTCTTCCCGTTGTTTTTCCATAACTTTCAAATCAAAAGAGAGGGCTGATAAACATTTCTCTCTTGATACAAGCCAAAAACTTATTATAATATTCAACAAGGCTAGAGGAGCCTTTTTCAAGTTCAAAGTATTGTTTACATGTCTCATAGATTCGAATAACGTTTTCAGTGCCAGAATGTGTATGTTTAAGATGTTCTCAAATATGCTTAGCCATAGACATGTAAAGGGATTAAGACTCGATATGAGATTCAATATTTATTGATCATAAGGCCAATAATAGCATTATCTTCTTGGTTTCACCTATCATTGAGAGAAGAATCAGCCTTTGTAGAATCACTTTCTGAAAACTTGTCAATAAATCTTTTCCTCACAAAAAAACCTCCACACACTTATCCCAATAAGTGTAATTTTTTCATTTAATTTTCAGGTGTCATGGGTCCAGTCAGATTGAACATCTCCATCTTGGATGTCATGATATCACGGAGGACTAATTAATCCACACCGTAAGTTCATAAACAAGTGACACTGAATAGGTCCACAAGCTGAGAGATCAGCCCAACAATAATAGCAACGCCCCAACAATAAACACAGCCCACAAACTAATTAACTGAACAGCTGCTGGGCTTGTCCTATTGATCCAATAGAAACACAAATTCGAAGCCCAAAGTGAATATGATCAAACCTTAGCCCAAGACTGAGAACTCCTGCTCGCGACGTTTATCGGCCACTGCTGAAGAAGTCCGACCAAATTGAGCACTCCAACCATCAGAAATCAACTAACCGACCACCAACACAAATCCAGAAACCCAACCGTCAGACCACTACAAAAACACCACATAGGTCCTTGACCTAACACCGTAGCGCCACACAACCGACAGAAGCAAACATACTTTTAGGCGAAGATTACACAAGGCACATATTACACAGCAAACACCTCATAAAAGCTCAACCACAAAGACCGGAGTTGTCAAGAGAGAACTCGAAGAAGCAAGAATGTGAAAGAAAAAGGAAAAAAGTTGGCAGAGGCGGCAGACGATGCCAAACCCTAGAGTTAACTCTGATACCATGTTGCAAGAACATGTTTGGAATAAACTTTTGAGTGAAGAAGTTAATCATCTTCCTCTCTTTAGCTTTCATTATAGAGAAAACCAAAAGTACAAATATGGAAATACAATAAATCAATTATCCTCTTGCCTAATTTACGTTATTCTTATTTATTTGTTTCCTTAACAGGTTTTAAATGCACGACAACTCCTATTGCAATCTTTGTGGAATGATTGTGATTTTTTGTATGCAGCTCCTTTATCCGAAGATGGATATACATTCCTGCCATGAACTTTTATCTGCAATACGGCTGCTGATCTCTGAAGAACAGTGCGGTGGTAGATTTGTTTTCAACCGCCAGATAGTACAACCCTCCAAGCCATCTATTGTAGCAGAAGCTCCAGCCTTCATACCTAGGTCAGAAAGTGGTCCTGGGGGTGATAATTCGAAGAGTCAGCTACAAACATTGCTGACTCGAGCATGCCGTGCAGCACCTGTATATGAGACGAAGTGGCTAAAGAACAACCAGTTCCAATCAACTGTAGAATTCAATGGCATGCAGATAATGGGGCAGCCGTTCAATAACAAGAAGCAAGCAGAAAAAGATGCAGCAGCTGAGGCACTGCAATGGATTTTGGGACGGAATCAGGCCGGCCATGACTATGTTGACCACGTGTCAATGTTGCTGAAAAAGAGCAAGAAGGACCACAAGTAGACTTGGAGGTAGCTTGATATCCCATGCTTCTGGTGTTCGCACTAAAGATACAGGGCGCTCTCAATTTGTACAAGCAGCGTGCAACATGGACCCTGTCCAAGTGAGTTTCTGTCAATGTTGTCAAATTGAAAGCTACTGAAAATCCCCAGAATGGCCATGCAGCATCAAATTTATGTTCACCAACTACAATTCGGTTTGCAAGTTCTTGCAAGAATATGCAACAGATTGTCTCCATGCCTCTGCTTCTGAAGATGAACCTATATTAGCCGGATTGGGTAGTCAAAGTTAGCTGGACAAGCTTTTCTTGAGCAAATACACCTGGAAGTCTGGAACTGTAAATGTGGCATTGGTGGAAATGTGCCCACCAAGGCAGGGAAAGCGAAATTATGCATTGTGGTATAATTCTGGACAACCTTAGGTATCCCATTCCATGTTTATATGGTATTCTAATTTTTAAAACCATCAAATATACATGGTTTGTTTGAGAGTGAATTTATGCTCAGACAGCCTTCCGATGCAAAAATATTAGTTGTCCTTGCTCGTTCAACTGATGACGGTTTTGCTTATTTCTTTGCGCTTTCTTTCAGTTTTTCTTTCTTTTGAAAAACTCTAGGGGTGGGGGGAATGTAAGTTAGAAAATAACCGAGTATGTTTTCGTGGTAGAAAATAACCGAGTATGTTTTCGTGGTAGAGAGTTGTTTGGGGGTGAATCGACCAGTAGAACTGCTCATTCTTAAGTCTTGTTTTAGGTGAAAATTCTGGGTATTTTCCGAATTTTGGAGTTTCCATTGTTTTTTTTCAATAATTACACTTGAGCAAAGAATGGAATATAATTATCAATACAAGGAACTTGAGTAACTTGGTTAATAACTTGAGTCCAAGAGATGTTGTTGGTCAGTGAGTCGGTAATGTCTGGAAATCAATATGCATGAAGATGGAAAGGAGCCTAAGAACGGGAATTATTCAAGAGAAAAATCACTAATATCTATAGCGATGTACAACTTGGTCGAAAAAATTTAACTTCTCATATCGATTTACTTTAAACAGGGAATGTAAATGTGATGCTATTGGATATGTTGACGGTTGACCCAGGCAACATGTTGGAATGAAGTGAACAATACCACTTTTCTGATAGGAAACGAGGTATTGAGAAGAACTCATGGGCCTAAACCTTATGCCCACCGATTTGGTCTAATTTTATCGTTTGAGTTATTAAATTGGCACTTTTATTATTAAAAAACTAATTACCTTCTATTTATTTATTGTCAAAATAGTTTAATTCCTTGTAATTTAATGGGAAATTTGCTTAGATTGGTTTCTTGCTTTTCTTTAAATTTTAAAATTAGGGTTCGATTTTATTTGGTTGTTTAAAATAATATAATGTGAGAATGATTTTCTCCATATTTTGCTCAAATTCTCGATATTTTTTTGTGCATCTGAGTTTTTGGAGGTTTAATTATCATTTTTGATATCAAAACACAGCCACGTTCTAGATAGAGACGATTTGGTGTTCTTAAAAGTTATATAGCTAAAATCATGTTATGCAATAAGTTAATACAAATGTGTCTACAAGCGATGGCGTTGGAACATTTGATAAGAGATGGAACAACTGCATCGACAAAACAGAGGTGCTGAAGTAGTAGCCGGATAGTTTCTATCACTATGGGTTTGACGATCATAGATGCGTAGCGTAGGAGGAGTTCTACGTTGACGATAAGATTTTTGCTCTCTTTATCCCGAATTGTGAGACATTGATTTTTAAGTGAGGATTATGATGGCCCGCTAATTTTTTTCCTTGAGGTCGACAAGCATGTTTAAGAAGATTATATCGAGGAAAAGACGATGATTGGGGATATAGGTGCTGTATCTATGTTAGCACTACTGGTTTCTATTATTGCACTTGTGAATAATTTCATCGTTGAGTGCATTATTAAAATTGAGAATGATCAGTTAGCAACTATTATTAAACAATTTGCTGGTTTGGTGACAATAGAGATTATTGTGAGTCAAGAGCTTGTGTTGCAAGATTCGAGGAAGAATTTTTCGATCCAGAGGGAATGATGCAGTTGGATAGGTTGACTCAGTCAATTGTAACGAGCTGCTGAGGAGAATTTATGGCTAAAGCCATTGAGCCCATGGATTCTGTGGCCAGATTGCATCATTTAATTTGTGAAATTGGCATTTTTCTTATTCAGATGAAAATTAATTTTTATTTATCTATTGTCAAATTAATTCACTTCCCTGTTAATTTAATAGGAGATTTGTTTAGATCAAATTGTCTAGTATTTGTCTTCGTTTATACTTTATAATAGTAAGTTACTAAGTTATGGTTTCTTGTTTTCCTTTTATAGTTTTATAATTAGGTCCAATGTTATTTGATTGTGTTTGTTAAAGATATTAAATAAAATATTGCAAGAATGATTCCCCCCCCCCCCCCCCCCCAATATTTTATCCAAATTCTTGATGTTTTTTGTGAATCAACGAACTTTTGAAGTGTTAGACATCATTCTGCATATTCCGCTACATTAAAATGTCAAAGTTATCTAATAAGAATCGAGGATGAAAAGAAGCCCTCAATTATGAAGAACAACTTTCTATTCATTAAAATTTCAAGTATATTGTAGCTTCATTTTCTTTATTTAGTTTGCCTATGTTTTGTAATCCATCACTTCCTAATTGCCGCCTCTTCCCTCCACATCTAGCCATGGCCTCAAAATTTCAAAAAAATTCATTTCAATTAGTTCCCTCACTGCTCAGTAATGAAATAAGATATGTAAATAAAAGATAATAATATTTGTAAATGAAATATTAGTAAGTTGAAGAAAGGAAAAAATATTTGTTTATCGAAGTTTAGATTAAATCATCGATGACATTGTTTGATCGATGTGCATTGGTGATCATTGTTCTGTCCTAATTACCAACATTGATTTTCATCAAGTATTGTTGATTGTTTTGTATATTTAAATTTTTTTACAGTTATTGTTAAAAAGATTCGTAAATTTTGTAAAAAGTGTTGAGCTATTTGAGCCATCTCAAAACATGGGAGGAGAAAGGAGGGATTTGAAAGACATGAAAGAGAATTTTATTAGAGTTTGACGTGTAACCTTGAACTTTAAAATACGACTTTCCAGGCGACAAATATTATATATCTAGGTTATTATTTTTTGGGGAAAAATATCTAAATTATCATCGTTCTGTGTGGTAGTGTGGTCATTCTCACACTATTCGATGAACTTTAATTGAATATTTAGATATTGAACATTGTCAGAGTAATCCAATATCACGAGATGAATACTCATCTAAACACTAGATGAATGACAATTTTTTAACTAGAACTAAAAGACTTAATTCATCAGCAACCTAAATAAATTCATTACTTTTTCTATTCCATAGTTTTCTTGGGGAATTGTTCATCTTCATCTTCATCATCATCATCATCAATACCAATGGGAACTCCACACAGTGAGAATTACTCAGAGCCCCACAAAATATCATCCACTCATTTATTTATTTATTTTATTAATTCTATATAATCAACGAGCAACAACCTTATTAATATCTCAATCTCAATCAATTAATTTTCATTTCAACCAGAATGGATGGTGGGGGTGGACCACATTACTCTAAATTGAAAAAAAAAAAAAGAAATGTTCTCGAAATGCTAAAGTGATCTGGCTGTCGGAATCATATAATTGATCGGGAAAATAATGTAAGAGAAATGAACTCTGATTTGAGACAGGTTGGGAAGCCTCTGCTCCTACCTGTCCTCAATTTTCTCATTAAATTTTTGCTGTTTTTCTTGTTATGTTTTGGTGACTTTCAGTCAGAGTTAGGGCAAATGAGGACTTGTCCTACACATTATAATCTTCTTAAATTTAGCTTATCGCTCTCTATCTATTTACGTTTTTGTTCGAAAACCATAATATTAGAGTACTTCATAGTATTTTTATTCTTTTAATTTCAAAGTCAAAACTCTTTCTCAATGAGTTACAGTGAGGAATCTCTCATCTGTCCCTGAATTGACATTGTATATAGGGACGGATTTGGGTGGGGGGGGGGGGGGTGTGTGGTGGGGGGGGGGGGGGGGGGGGGGGGGGGGGGGGGGGGGGGGCTGTAGCCCCCCCCCCCCGGCCCAAGAAGTTTTTTTAAGAGTATATTTAATTTTTTTTTTAAATAAAAAAACCAATTTTTTATGTATAATTCTTTTTTTCACGTATTAATCCGGTTTGAAATTTTTTAGTCCGATTTTAGATCCAATCCTAGATTCGACCCTGATAGTATACCAACCCTCTTCCATCGGTCCCTATTAACCAAGTTAGGGAGCGAGTAAAAAAGAAAAAGCAAATCAACAGTTCTTATTTATATTATAATCTTCTTCTTCTTCTTCTTCTGGAAAATTGATTATTTTTCCATTTTCAATCTCCTGTTTGCTTTATCATACTCAAGAAAAAGGTTCTAATAATTCATTTAGAGTCTCATATCAACTATTTTGTATTAATTCTTAATTTAACATATTCTCGTTCTTTTAAAATGGCATATTCTAAACTATTCCGATATGTACGTGATTTAAGTTGACGTATACCAGACCAGTAGTGACACAATCCAACAGCGTGATGACACACATTTGTCATTAAGCTGTGTGTTTACTTGGATTCTTGGCAAACATTAAGGTCACAGTCACCACTTGCAATTGCTTAAAGTTGGTGTCACAATTATCAATTGGATTGACGTTAAAGTTTTCGGGACCCCTTTATTTTTTCTATGTGCATAATTGGTAAAGAGAGGAGTCCTGTGGATTTTTATTTTTTGTTTATTTCTTCTAAAATTTTTTTTAAAGACTTTTGTTGATTTTTGGGTCCTAGAATTTTATTTATTTTTTTTACTGTCATTTAATTAAGAGGAAATTACAAAAAATGTTCATTTTGACATAGTCATTTGCAAAAATGTCTAAAATTTTTCAATATCCATTTTTGCAATTATTTGGACAAGAGTATCCTTAAGTAGCTTCCATGAAAAACTATATTAAAATGATGTTTTCTACATTTCAAATGTCGTTCTCGATATTTGAATCTGTTTATATTTCAAAAGTACACATATCAAATTATAATATTAAATGTTTTCAATATTTTAAACCTCGACATATTAAATGTCTAGAATGACATTTCATTTCGAATATGACATTTCCATACACTTTAAATATTGCTCTCGACATTTCTGTGTCTAACATTAATTGTGATTTGACATGTAAAAAATTAATTTTTTGACCGTTATTTTATTATTCCAGCCGCCATATTTGACTTCTTCTCTCATAAGTGGATTGCACTTTTCTCCTAACGATAAAAAAATCAATTCTCAAAATCACTCTCAAACAGACTCTATATTAATTATCTAAAAAAAATTAGCCTAGATCAGTGTTCCATGTTTTGTCCTCTTGTTTCTCCATGCATTAATTAAGTGCACTGTGGCAGAACTGTCCATAAAAATACTTTAGGTAATAGCATTCTGACAATCAAATATTCAATCCACTCTAATAAAAAAACAGTGTCTAATTTATTTTGTAATATATTATTTAATTAATTAATCCTGTCCATATGGGCACTGGCGAATTCAAGATTTGGACCGAGAGTTGAAACTTTTTGTGATCTAGTTGTAGACTTTTATAATAAAAAGAAATACATTTTTCCATTCTTTTAGGGGTGACGTGGGTGGATATTCCTATTTTCTTAAGATTTTATTTCTCAATTCTATATTTTAAAAGCCTTTAATTTTCTTGATTCGCTGTTTGATAATTATCATGAAATGAATTCTTAAACCGCAGTTTTAAAATGAAGTAACTGTAGGTGTAAATGGACCAATTTTACTCGGTGATCACTTTCTTCAATTTGCGTAAACGAAGATGTCACTATCAATGATGTCCACCGAGCCTTTATTAAAGTAAGATCAAGTTTTGCTTAAAAATCATCAAATGTCTAGTATTTTGACAATGGGTCCCTAGTCTTTTAAATTTTTAGCACATTTGACCTTCATTGCACAATATTCATCCTTGTTATCATCTACTAAAAGATACGTGATCCTTATGTGTCCGACTTAGAAGAGAAAATATATGTTAATGCTTAGTTTCAATAAAAATAAGAAAAAAGAAAAGCAAATCACTCTCAAACACCCCCATGCCAACCCCAACCTGCCTTGGCAGCCTCGCTCTCCATCCATGCCTAGGATGGCAGTTTGGGTA